GACTCGGTTGCCTGGCTGGCTCAGTCGGTTAAGCATCTGACTTCGGCTCAGGTCATGATCTCGAGGTTCCTGAATTCAGGTCACACTTTGGGGGAGCTCGATCCCACTTGTCTCTCTCTCTCTGTCTCTCTCTCTCTCTGCCCCTCATAGGATTCTCTTTCTCTCCCTCTCTTTGTACCTTCACTCACTTGTTACCTCTCTCAGAAAACAAAACAAAACAAAAAACAGTATTTAAGACCCATGCCAAGGCACATTATGAAATTTATGAGTGCCAGAGTAGAAGACAAAGATTTTATTTCCATAGAGAGGGAAAACAAAGGTTACACAGAAACCATAATGAAGGATTAGGGAAGAGAGTGACAGAAAAGAGTGTCCGATTTCTCAACAGCAACGTTGAAATCTGGAAGACTATAGAACACATTGTGAAAGAAAATGATTTTCTTTTTTTGTGTGTGTTTATTTTGAGAGGGAGTGCGAGCAGGGTGGAGGGTGTGGGTGGGGTGGGAGAGAGAGAGAATGCTAAGCAGGCTCAGCACAGAGCCTAACAAGGGGCTCGACACCAAGTGTGAGATCATGACCTGAACTGAAATCAAAAGTCGGACACTTAACTGACTGAACTACTCATGCATTCTGGAAAATGATTTTCAGCATAGAATTCTGTTACCGTTTGTATTTTGAGTTTGCTCTGAGAATAAATACAATTTATTACACTAAAAATTTTATATCTACTTCCTTTCTTGGGAATTTATTGGTAGATATGCTCTACTGTTACATGAGTAAATCAAGAAAAAGAAGTGGCATCCAGGGAGCATGAGGTTGAACAGAAAAGGGATGAATAGAATTCCCCCATTTAATAGTGAAAAGAAGTTCTGAGGAAACAGATGTGTATCAGGCCCAGTGAGCAACTAGTCCAGATTGTAGCAGGTGGGATGAGAGATTCAGCAGGGCAGTCCCTGGGGAAAAAAATGGAACTAATGGATTTTGATAGATTTGATCATATAGAAATTTTATTGAATAACTGGAATCTTACCCTTTGGTACAAACTAAGTTGCCATAGGAAAACAGTGGGAAAAGTTGAAGTGAGGGGGGATAAGAAATTCTTACCTCTAGAAAAGCCAAGTTACTTTATTTTTCAAGCTTAGTTATTTTCAGAGAGAGCATGTGTGCGCACAAGCAGGGAAGGGTCGGGGGGGGGGGGGAGGGTGGGGAGAGAGAATCCCAAGCAGGCTCCATACTCAGTGAGAAGCTTGACTCGGGGCTTGATCCCATGACTGTGAAATTATGAACTGAGCTAAAAAATCCAGAGTCGGTTGCCTAACCCACTGAGCCAGCCAGGCTCCCCTAGGGAAACCAAATTATTGTACAAGAAGGGAAATTTAATACAAAGTTGGCACTGAACAAAAGTTATATAGTAATAAATTAGGGTGATGGGTCAAAGACTCACAATTTTTATTCTGAGTCTATTAATATTTGAACACGGTGTATGTATTAATAATACAAAAGAAAATGTTTCCAGTTCTAGTTCCAAAGCAACTCTTCCTTTAGGAGAAAAATGCCTTTTTAGTATTTATATTTTTAAACATGCAAAATCACAGAACATAGTAAAATGAGCGTCAGTGTACCCACCAGCCAGCTTCACCAGCTTTGAACACATGACCAGCTTTATTTTATTATTCTCTCACACCATACTTTTTATGCCACAAATCCCAGAAATCTGGGAGAAAAAAAGGATAAATTAGTACCCTGTGTTCAGATTTCCCACTTTTTGTCATAAATGTCTTTTATGGTTTATTCAAATAGACATCCAAAGTTCACACATTAGGTAGCCCATTATGATTTAAAATTTTCACATCATGGGGTATCTGGCTGGACCTATTGGAGGAGCTTCCGACGACTCTTGATCTCAAGGTCATGAGTTTGAGCCCCACATTGGGTGTAGAGATTACGTTTAAAAAAAAATTTTTTTTAACTTTATTTTTGAAGGAAAAGGAGAGCGTGAGTGGGGGAGGGGCAGAGAGAGAGAGGGAGACACAGAATCAGAAATGGGCTCCAGGCTCTGAGCTGTCAGCGCAGAGCCTGACTCAGGGCTCCAACTCACAAACTGCGAGATCATGACCTGAGCTGAAGTTGGTTGCTTAACCGACTGAGCCCCCCAGGCGCCCTGAGATTACTTTAAATAAATACTTAAAAAAAATTTAAGGGCACCTAGGTGGCTCATTCAGTTAAGCCCTCTCTCCCTCTCTCCCTCTCTCCCTCTTTCCGTCTTTCTCTGCTCTTCCCCTGCTGTCTTTTGCACATGCACATACATGCCCATGCACTCTATATCTCTCAAAAATAAACTTAAAAAAAATACTTTACATCATACCTAAACACTCATTCTTAAAAACATAATTAAAGTGCCAGCTTGCCCATGAAACTAAGGCTATCATGACGAGTGTCCCTTGAGTACAGTTTTTACATCATTAGTCTGCAAAGTAGGAGATAATATTTTGAGGTATGAGAAGAAATAGCATGCCTAAAAATACTTGCAAAACGTTATTTAATATAAGTTCAAGTTTCTTTTTCTGGGTACACATTTCATGTATATAATAGTGTAATGTTATACATAGGAGTTGTATTAAATCTGGATCCAGTCAGAAAAAAGAAACCACACATTAATTTAAAGAGGGGAGTTTAATATAAAGAATTAGTTATAAGAAATTGGAATAATGAAGGTTGACTAATAGAAAGTTACTCTGAATTCTGAAGAATGTAGGAATAGCACACAGAAGGAGCAACCACCCTAGCACTGAGATAGAGCACCCAAGGAAGAGGACCCAAGGACTGAGATCTAGACCTTGTTGAAAAGGGCACACACTAGGGGTGCCTGGGTGGCTCAGTCGGTTGAGCATCCAACTTCAGCTCAGGTCATGATCTCACAGTTTGTGGGTTCGAGCCCTGCATCGGGCTCTGTGCTGACAGCTTAGAGCCTGGAGCCTGCTTCAAATTCTGTCTCCCTCTCTCTCTGCTCCTCCCCCGCTCATGCTCTGTCTCCCTCTCTCCTTCAAAAATAAAACATTAAAAAAAAAAAATGAAAAGGGCACACACTGTGTCTCGCTGGATGACATAGAAGTTGCCGTGGAGCTGTGTTGGCAGAACTTGTTGGAAATCTTTTCTTTTGCATGTGGAGGAAAGCTGTTCAGGGGAGGTTTTCTGGAGGCACTCTGCTACTCAACCCTCTCTAGAGGGAAGCTGCTCTGTGCATTGGGCAATGAAGAAACTGCCCACAGTGGCAGGAACCTGTTGCTAGAGAAGCTCAGAGTACTGTAGGGGGTGTGCTGGCCCAGCGAGCTGGAACTGGGAAGCAAAAGTCTTCTTCCTATAATATTCCTCCAGCAGCCTCCATTGTCAGAGCTTCAGCTGGCAAAAGAAAAATACGTTTTTGTTTTTTGTGGTTTTTTTTTGAGAGAGAGAGGGCACAAATGGGTGAGGGGCAGAGAGAGGGAGAGAGAGAGAATCCCATGAGGGTCAGAGAAAAGGAGGGAGAGAAAGAAGCAGGGCTCACTTGAAGCGGGGCTTGAGCTCATGAACTGTGAATCAGGACCTGAGCCAGAGTCAGATGCTTAACTGACCGAGCCACCCAGGAGCCCCCAAAAGGACAATAGTTAAAGACCTACATCTATTTTCTCAGAGAAGGCAAAAAGGGTGAGCTCGAGTAAATTGATAACTGGCGGAGTTAAATGCTTTTTTGGCAGTGTTGGGGGCAATTGGTAGTGGTCCACAGTAGAAGTGTTGGAGACCTGGTACTTAATCTGGTCTTTTCATTGAGTTTATAAACTTTTGAAGGCGTTTAACTGTGAAAGGCCTGTTATTCACAGTAAATTCTTTTTTACTTTTCTGTATATTTACACAGATGTTTGAGAATGAATTGGAAAGTAGTGTCTATATATAGCAAGGATTTTAATTATTTATTAGCTTCTAATTTTTAACTTGTAATCACTTACCTTTTATTTTTTTATTTTTTTTTTTCAACGTTTATTTATTTTTGGGACAGAGAGAGACAAAGCATGAACGGGGGAGGGGCAGAGAGAGAGGGAGACACAGAATCGGAAACAGGCTCCAGGCTCTGAGCCATCAGCCCAGAGCCTGACGCGGGGCTTGAACTCATGGACCGCGAGATCGTGACCTGGCTGAAGTCGGACGTTTAACCGACTGCGCCACCCAGGCGCCCCAATCACTTACCTTTTAAAGTTCATCATTATACCTCTTCAGAGAATTAGCATGCCAAGATATTATATAAATTGGATTGTAATGTAAATATGTTCTGCCTGCCTGCCAGCCTTTGCTCTCCTTCACTTTAGCTAGAATAGTTTTCCTCTATTTTAGACTTTTCCTCTGACTCTTTTTCATCTTTCAGCTTTCACTGCTGCTTCCTCTAGGATGCCTTCCTTGACATAGCTAAAGTGGGTTAGGTGCTATTCTGTGTGGGCTAGAATCTGTACTCACTGAAAACATCATCTTGTAAAGACCCCCTTATTTATATTACCAGCATTCCCCACATCTACCCCATAGGAAAGTGAGGACTGTCTTGTTCCCTTCTTTAAATACCTAGGGCTTAGTTAATTAGCACAGTGCCTATTACATGGTGTGTTTTTTTTTTTTTTTTAATGTTTATTTATTTATTGAGAGAGGGACAGAGATAGGGAGAGTGCACATGAGCGAGGGAGTAGCAAAAAGAGAGAATCCCAAGCAGGCTCTGAGCTGCCAGCGCAGAGCTCGAAGTGGGGCTTGGTCCCATGAACTGTGAGATCATGTACATGGTGATTATTAAAGAGTGAATAAAATGAGCAGGATGGTACTGTTTACTTGGTTGGCAGTGTAGGACATAATGCCATAATCCAGTACACCTCAAACTACATTTTGATTTTTGTTACAGTTTAGTTTTTCTTATTAAGTTTACAGTATTACTTGTGTAACTATTACAAAACACCTTGAAATACCTGTGTCTTGCTCTCTTTCAGGTTCCTTTTTTGCCAGGAGATTCAGATCTTGATCAACTAACAAGAATATTTGAAACTTTGGGCACACCAACTGAGGAACAGTGGCCTGTAAGCCTTCATACATGTTCTTTAATGTAGTTAGGATTCTATATGTTGTTGTCATGTAGGTATTTCTTAAAGAAATGTATTCACGTCTTAATTTACTAGTAATATATACTCTGCAAAATTTATACCAAGTAGAAAGTTAAAATTGTGGTATGGTATCCAGCCTCCCACGTACATGTTGCCCTTCCTCCATCCCAGGGTTAATCACTGTCAGTTTGGTGGAACGTCTTGCTGTGAAGATACATACATAAACATATACTTACACAATTACATATTTTATCTTTTCTTTAATAAAAATAGGATCATGCCATATAAACTTTTTGCCACCAACTTGATCTTTTTACTTAACGTTTATAACTGACCTTTTTCTTTTTCATTCTGACGTTTTTGTTTTTAATAGCTGCATATTTTATTTTAATGGGTATTCATGTTTGTTCATCAACATCTTGGTGGATTTAGGGTGTATTTGTAGAATTTTCACTAACAGTTAAGATGTCTCAGTATTGTGCATATTTTTAATCCATTATGTTGTCTACAAAAAAGAAATCTTAAGTCGTGAGTAAAATTTACACCAATTTAAGTTGCTAAATTGTATATATATCATAGTTTAGTAAGATAATCTCCCTTGACTATTCTTAAATTAAAACTGTAAACCTTTAGATTTTCCTTCCTGTGATAGCCCCATCTCCTGGGGAATAAATAACTACTACAAAAGATAAATTTTAATCAGACTCTGCCTTCTGGTTAAAACTGATAAAATTATCTGAGGCTGAAATTTAGTGTAAGGAGTTTTTTTTGTGCTGTTACTTCCTCAACTTTCTAATTGAAAGTTTGCTATATGTACTCATTGTAAAACATGCTTTAGTAGCTATCATTTATTAAACACATTATATGCCATCATGACAGGCTTTTCATAAATTATATGTCATTTTCCCAACAATCCTATGAAGTAGGTACTGTTAGTCCCAGTTTATTTGAGACAACTGAGGTTTACTGAGGATAAATAACTTACCCAAGACCACACAGTGTCAGAGCTAGGAGTGCAATGTAGATCTGGCCGACTCCAGAGCCATGTTCATGTTACTCTGTACAGTACTTTTCTCTTAGACATGTTTTCTTTTTTCCCCTCTTAGACATGATTTTTTGTCTTTATTTTTTTTAATTGTTTTAATGTTTATTTATTTTTGAGAGCAAGACAGAGACAGAATGCAAGTAGGGGAGGGACAGAGAGGAAGACGCAGAAGCAGGCTCCAGGCTCTGAGCTGACAGCACAGAACCCATCGTGGGGCTCGAACTCATGAGCTGTGAGATCAAGACCTCACCTGAAGTGGTTAACACCTGAGCCACCCATGCGCCCCAGACATGATTTGCTAAACAGTAACTGCTTTCCTGATATTTTCCTTAGATTTTTGAAAATTATACTTATTTTGAGATGATTGTAGATTTTAGTTGTAAGAGATAATTGAGATATTCCTTGAACTCTTTATCCAGGTTCATACAAACTTAGTACAATATCATGACCAGCATGCTGACGTTGATAGGATTAACATACAGGGGCATCACCACAAAGATCCTTTATGTTGCCCTTTTTTAGCCATACCTACTTTGCTTCCATTCCCACTCCCTCTTTAATCCCTGGCAATCACTAATCTGTTCTCCCTTCTGTAACTTTGTCATTTCCAGAATAGAACTAGAATCGCATACTATGTAACTTTTTAGGTTTGCCTTTTTTCACATTCAGCATAATTCTTTGGAGATTCATCCAGGTTGTATATATCAGTAATTTGTTCATTTTTATTGCTGAATGGTATGTATGTACCACAGTGTGTTTAACCATTCACTCCTTCGTTGTTTCCAGTTGGGGCTGTTAAAAATAAAGCTCCTATAAACATTATGTGTAGGGTTTTGTTTGTTTTTGTTTTTTGTTTTTTGTGGGTTTTTTTGTATAAAAATAAGCCTTTATTTCTCTAGACTAAATGCTCAGGAGAGCAGTTGCTGACCTCTATGGTAGCTGTGTAGTTAATTTAAAAACTGCTAATTTGTTTTGCAGACTGGCTGTACCATTTTATATTCTTACCAGCCATAAATGAGTAACCCATTTTCTCTGCATCCTCTCCAGCATTTGGTGTTGTCACTTTTTTATTTCAAGTGTTCTGATGGTTGTGTAGTGACAGTTCATTGTGATTTTAATTATTTCGCTAATAACTGATGGTGTTGGATATGTTTTCATGTGCTTATTGGCCATCTGTATATCTTTAGTTAAATGTCTCTTCATGTTTTTTTCCCATTTTTTCAATGAATTGTATTTTAATGATTTTTTTAAGTAATCTTTGTACCTAACATGGGGCTCGAACTCACCATCCTGAAATCAAGAGTCACATGCTCTACCCACTGAGCCGGCCAGGTCCCCATTTTGTGATTGGATTGTTTGGTTTTTAATTCTGATGAAGTCTATTTTATCAGTTTGTCCTTTTACAAATCCTTGTTTTGATGTCACGTTAAGGAACTCTTTGCCTATCTCAAAGATTTTTCGACAAAACTATAAAAAAAGTTAAAACTGTAAATAGTTTTATAGTTTTCCATTTGTCATTTCAATATGTGATCCTTTTTGAGTTAATTTTTGTATGAGGTGTGAGACTTTGATGAAAGGTCTTTTTTTTTTTTGGCTTGTGTATGGTCCAGTTGCTTTAGCACCATTTGTTGAAAAGCCTATCTTTCCATCGAATTGCTTTGCATTGTTGTCAAAAATCAGTTGGCGCCTGGATAGCTCAGTCGGTTCACAGTCTGACTTTGGCTCAGGTCATGATCTCCCACTTCATGGGTTCAAGTCGGGCTCTGTGCTGACCGCTCAGAGCCTGGAGCCTGCTTCGGATTCTGTGTCTCCCTCTCTCTCTCTGTCCCTCCCCTGCTTACATTGTTTCTCTCTCAAAAATAAACATTAAAAAAAAAAAGTCAGTTGGGTAGACTCAGCAGCTGTCTGGGGCACTGGACTTTCCATCCTGGAACCATGGCCTAATTTGTTGGTAACCTGGAGAATGCCCAGGTGCTGGTGGACACTTAAAGCTTGATTGGCTACATTTTGGCAGTATGCCAAGATTGAGCTGGTTCCTCTTCTCCCTGCTTAGATTCCTGGAGTTACTCAGAGCTTGGAAAAATAGTCAAAAGAGTTCTCAAACAGCCTCACAGTTATGGACGCTCTGCTGAATGTTTTGGTGACCACTGATGTGTGGATATAGTTTTATGTCTTTGAGATCATAGGCAAGCATGGCATTGTTGACTAGAATGTTTAAAGACCAGTCTTTAACATCTGTTTATATTTGGTTTATTATTTGAGTAAAATAAGACAATATATCAAAACAATGAGTTGGGCATATTTGTGGGGATCTGTTTCTGGGTTCTGTCTTATGTTCCTTTGATCTATACCTGTCCTTCTGCTTAATGCCACAGTCTTAAAGTAGCTATGCATTAAGTGTTGAAATCAGGTAGATTGATTCCTCCACTTCTGTTGTTTTTCAAACTTGTTATAGCTATTACAGTTCTTTTGCCTTCCCACATACATTTTAGAATAATCTAAAGTGATTTTGTCAGAATTTTGGTAAGTATTCCCTTCAACTCCGTATATCATTTTGAGGAGAATTCTCATCCTTACAAAATTGAATCTCCAAATCCATGAATAGGACAGGCCTCATCATTTTTTTTTTTTTTTAAGATTTTATTTTTAATTAGTTTCTACACCCAACTTGCATCTCGAACTTACAATCTGTTGTAAGATCAAGAGTTGAGCACTCCACCAACTAAACCAGGCAGGCACCTCAGTTATGTAGCTTTTAGTATAAGTGTCCTGTGTGTTTTGTTAGATTTTCATGTATTTGATTATTCTTTTTGAATTATTCTAAATGGCATTTTAAATTTCATTATCCACATTTGTTACCAGTATATAGAACCACAATCAATTTTTGTGTCTTTATCCTGTATCCTCTAACCTTGCTTTACTCAGTAATTTTAGGAGTTTTTAAATAGATTTCTTGGAATTTTCTAGATAGATCATTTGACAGTTTTAGTTCTTCATTTGAGATGTATATGACTTTCAGTCCTTAAGTTTGAATTATAAATATTTTTACAGGACATGTGTAGTCTTCCAGATTTCGTGACATTTAAGAGTTTTCCTGGAATCCCGTTACAACACATCTTCATTGCAGCAGGAGACGACTTGTTAGATCTCATACAAGGCTTATTTTTATTTAACCCATGTACTCGAATTACAGCCACACAGGTATTTTAGCATATCTTTCTTATATTAGGAAATATGATGATAATCTTAACTCTGACACTGATAAAATAGAGTATCGTAAGATTTTCTAACATTCTTTAAATACAGTAAAGATGTGTTTTTGTTTTAAGGAGTTATAAGTTTTATCTTGTACCTAAGCTACAAGCCCCATTCAGACTGGTATTAAACTACATCATGCATACGCAGCAAGAGAGTTTACTTTTGCTTAGGAACGTATAAATATGTATTTATTTCATAATTAATTGGCTTTCAAGTAGCTTACCTAGAGAAGAAAAAAATAAGAATGGTTTTGTACTTGTTAAATTAATGATATTTCAGTTAATGCCAAGCCTAATGCCAAAAGTGTTCTGGTTTTTTTCCCCCATGAAATGCAGTCTTGGTATGCATGCTGATCATTGTCATAGTCAGAAAGTGATAATGGGGAGAAAATGGTATAGTTCCTTCTTTTTCTTTCTTAAAGATTTTATTTAATTTTATTTATTTATTTCAATGTTTATTTATTTTTGAGAGACAGAGCTCGAGCAGGGGAAGGGTAGAGAGAGGGACATAGAGAATCCAAAGCAGGTTCCAGGCTCCAAGCTTTCAGCACAGAGCCCAGTGTGGGCCTTGAACTCACAGACTATGAGGTTATGACCTGAGCCAAGTTAGATGCTTAACCAACTGAGCCACCCAGGCACCCCAGATTTTATTTTATTTTCAAGTTGCTTTATTTTAGAGAGGGAGCAATCAGAATCGGGGGAGGGACAGAGAGAGAGAATCCTAAGCAGGCTTGGTGCTGCCGGTGCGGAGCCCAATGAGGGGCTTGATCCCACAAACTGTGAGATCCTGAGTTGGACGCTTAACTGACTGAGCCACCCAGTCACCCCTAAAGATTTTAAGTAATCTCTGCACCCATTGTGGGACTTGAACTAAAAATCCTGAGATCCAAGTCACATGCTCTTCTGACTGAGCGAGCCAGGTGCCCTGAAAATAGAAAAAACTGTATGCTTACAAGAGACAGAAAGATAATCTGAATAGAACAGACATCGATACTGACCCTAACTTAAGGGAAATAAGAATCAAACTCAAAAAAATTAGAAGACCAAGAATATCTGCTTTTCCAAAAGAAGGAAGAAATACTGTCCAACACAAAAACAAAAGAACATTAGATTTGAAAGAAAAAAATCCATTGTCTTTGTTTTAAAAACAAGCACAAAACAAAAAAAGGTTAGTGTCCTAAACACTTAAAATTGGGGCAGGGAGGGGTGCCTGGGTGGCTCAGTGGGTTGAGCATCTGATTTCAGCTCAGGTCATGATCTCACAGTTCATGGGTTTGAGCCCCGAGTTGGGCTCTGTGCTGACAGCTCAGCCTGGAGCCTGCTTCGGATTCTGTGTCTCCTTTCTGTGCTCCTCCCCTGCTTGGGCTCTGTCTCTCTTTCTCAAAAATAATTAAACACTAAAAAAAATTTTTTTTTTTTTAAATTGTGTCAGGGAAGTGTAGAAATGCAACACAGTACAATGATTTGGCTTCATTAAAGTAAGACCCTGATTAAAATGAAATGTCATAAGTCTTCATATCTGTGCACAATATACCAAGAATATAACATAGATATTTTTTCACTTAAGTTTATTACAGACTACCAGATCATTGTTTAATGCATTTACTTCTATAGGCCTTCTCTTTTTGGCAGTACATGTTACCTTCATACATACATGCTAGATATTTTACGATTAGAAGCACTCTTCTCATTTCAAATAAGTACCTTATCGTTAACCTTTCCATACACACACACACACACACACACACACACACACACACACTACCTTCATCATAAGAAATTTGAGATAAGGTCAGATTATCTAGAAAGTTGTTTTCATTAATAGTAAAAGTCAAAATATAAAACATGTAAATAAAAATGTATAGAAAAATACTAGTTGTACAACTTATTTGGGTTATATTTTGATAGAATTTTTTACTTAAAAAATGTTTATTTTTTAATTTTTTAAATATTTGTTTTTGAGAGAGAAAGTGCACGCAAGTGGGAGAGAGAACCTGAAGCAGGCTTCAGGCTCTGAGCTGTTAGCATAGAGCCCAATGGTGGGCTCAAACCCACAAACTGTGAGATCATGACTTGAGCTGAAGTCAGATGCTTAACTGACTGAGCCACCCAGGTGCCCCATAATGAATTTTTTAAAATGGGTTTGACTCATGAATATCTGTCTTAAAGTTGCAATGAGATAGTCTCCCTTTCTTAAATCTCTGATAGCTCAGGATTAGCTTAATTTACTTAGGGAACTGCTGATTTGGAAGCATAATTTAGAAATGCAACTCTCTTGAAGTAAGGAATCTCTAAATTGTCACTGCAAATAATGTGAAATAATGTTGTGAGAGGAAATGCTTGAAAAGTTTGTATGAATTTCTTTATATTCCTGAAAGGATTATTGAAAAGGAATTTTTGTGCCTATTGAACTGTACTGTGCAAATAATGTATGAACTTGACAAAATTGTCATTTAGAATAAAACTATTTTTATTGGAATTCAGGACCAAAGTAAAGAAAGTATCATGTCATAGAACATTGAACAGGTATTATGTAGAAATAACGTTGCTCATTTCATTCCCAGTAAAATTTTTAATTGTGGTAAATTGTTGGATTTTAATACATTGTTACCAGCCTGTTGCGTCTTTTAAAAAATTTTTAAAAATCTGTATTTACAGGCTTTGGAATTTGAATACACATACATGTTGTGACAGACTTTGAAGTTCTTTTTAAGCAAGTTTTTGTCTTTACATGTTGAACTATAGAGCCCCTTATGTATAGAGAGCTGAATTATACATGTCTTAACTAGGGATATTTCATATTTAATATAGGCTGTTCACCTGTAGAAAAATTACAAGGTAGTCTCTTTTTCTTAAGGTAATGAAATTTTCAACCAATACCGTTATATGTTTCTTTGTAGTAATTTGCTCATCCAAATTCTTGAGATTAATTTCATGTTGGAAGTGGGGCATTCACATAGTGTTTTTAATGTTCTCAATACTTCTGGTGTTTTGATTTTCATAAACAGTTCAGATACTCACTTAAAACCCTACTTTCTTTGGTATCTTTTCTTTAAAGGCATTGAAAACTAAGTATTTCAGTAATCGGCCAGGGCCAACACCTGGATGTCAGCTGCCAAGACCAAACTGTCCACTGGAAACTTTAAAGGAACAGTCAAATCCAGCTGTAGCAACAAAGCGGAAGCGAACACAGGCCTTGGAACAAGGTAAAACTTTATTTTCATAAGAAATGAAATGAATTCAGAAAACTCCAAGTAAGTAATGTATAGCTAGTGACTGAGGGGCAGCTAAGAAATGTAGATTGTGAGCTGTTTGCTTTTTTCTAAGTGTATGGTAGAGAATGTGGTATTTTAGCCATATTTGTTTCCATTGAAAATAATTTAATTAAACCAAACATTTTAAAAGGATGTGGGCACTTCTAAGTATACCTCAGCGTTGCACAAACTATCAATGTGTGCCTTATTTTCTTTATAAATTTTTATCGGTATACTACATGCTTAATGTTTAACAAGTGCTATTAGCAAATCAAAGCAAGTAAAATATATTGGATGTAGTTGGATGCAATGACTGGTTAGAATTGCCATAAGATTAAATGTGAACAACCTCATTTTTTTTTCACCTAGGAGGATTACCCAAGAAGCTAATTTTTTAGTTACAAAGATCACTGGACAGTATTTTACTACTGAAGGAAATAGTCCAAAAGGCAATTAATGGAAAAATAGTAAACGTTAAGTGAATGCTGTAGAAGGAATTTGTAAATATTCTACACATGTAAAATATGTAAAACTGGATTATTTTTATTAAATGTATTTTAAAACAAACTTAATTCTGATTTTTCTGATGAGAGTGCAAAAGTAAGATTAAATTCAATTCTCTGAAATGTAGAATTGAAAATTCATTAAGGAAACCTTAATAAAAATAATCATCAGTTATTTTGATGACCTGGCCCATCTAGCTTCACAGATTTATAGTAGTATTTAAAAATGGGGTAGTAGGGGTAGAGGTAGTATTTAAAAATGGAAGCAGTAGTAGTAATGTAGCATATACCTACGACCTAGAGTTAACAAATGTTAATATACTAAATAGGAAAAAAAAGATAAAACTACAAATGAAATTGAGGTCCCTTTAATATGCCATTCCATTCTTTTCCTTTTTGGCTTCCCGAGGGAAGCGACTCTCAGGAAATGAGTGTCTTTCCATGATTTTATACTGCTATTTTATAAAAATGCATGTAGTAATATACAGTATTGTTTTGAGTCTCCAAGTTTTATATGAATGATAGGCTATCTCATACTATAATTTATTTTTACTCAAAGCTTTTTTATTTCTTCCATGTTAATACATATATAATTTATTTAACAGCCATCTAATATATAAAAATAATCTATCTTACGTATACAACACTACATTCTTATGCTTTATTTATGGACTGTTATTTTTCTTTCCTGTATAAAAATTACCGTAAGTGTATCAGCATAAAGTAACACAAATTTACTAGCTCACAGTTCTATAAGCCAGATATCTGACCTGGCTCAACAGTGGTTTTCACATAGGTCAAAATCAAGGTGTCAGTTGAACTGGACTCTTATCTGAGTTTCTAGAGGAGAATCTGCTTCTATGCTTATTCAGTTTGTGTGATTTTAATGCACATGCTTCCTGTCCTTGTTAGCTGTCAGCCAAGGCTTTTCCCAGCTTCCTAAGACAGTCCCATGCCTTGTCACATGGCATTCTCCATCTGTAAGCCAGCAGCCGTGCTTAGAATCTTTTTGGTTTTCTTGTCTGCTACCAAAAAGGGAAGTCTGCTGTCTCAAGAAAAAAAAAAAAAAAAAAAAAAAAAGGTCACCTGATTGGATTATCCATATATTAAGGTCAATTTACTTGGGATTTTAATCTCTTTATACCAGTACCTAGATTAGTACTTAAATAATCAGGATGGGAATCGTAAAGTATGCATTTTCAATAATGTTGATATTGCCATATTTCCACTGTGTTCCCAATAGCTATTTAGTTCTTAAAAATGAAGAACTCTCCACACCCCACCCCACCCCACCCCATCCCAGGTGCCTGGGTGGATCAGTCAGTTAAGCATCTGACTCTTGATTTCAGCTTTTGATCTCAAAGTGGTGAATTCAAGCCCTACACTGGGCTCCTTGCTGGGTACGAAGTATACTTCCCCTTATCTTACTCCATATATAAAAACTAACTCAAATTGGATCAAAGACCTAAACTCAAGACCTAAAACTGTAACAACTCTTAGAAGAAAATATAGAGGAAAAGCTTCATGACATTAGATTTGGCAAGGACTTCCTGGATAGGACCCCAAAACACAGGCAAGAAAAGTGGGGGGAAAAAAGACATAGGGCATCTGAGTGGCTTAGTGGCTTAAGTGTCTGTCTCTTGATTTTGGCTCAGGTCATGATGGGTCATGAGATGGAGCTCTGTGTTGGGTTCTGCACTGTGTGTGGAGCCTGCTTGAAATTCTCTCTCCCCGTCCCTGTCTCCCTGCCCCTTGCTCACGTGCTCTCTCTCTCTCTGAAAAAAGAAAAAAAAAGACACTGGACTACGTCAGCATTTAAAACTTGTATGTATCACAGGAGTGGTAAGCAACACAGTGAAAAGAACAGAAGAATATATTTGTAAATCATATATCTGATAAAAGATAGCTCAACAATAAAATATTTTAAAAAATGGGCAAAGGACTTGAATAGACATTTCACCAAAGATGATCTAGAAATGGCCAATAAGCATGTAAAAGATGCTCAACATCACTAATCATTAGGGAAATGCAAGTCAAAACCACGGTGACATACCCCTTCATACACGTTAGGATCACTACTATATATAAAAAAAAAAAATCATAGAAAGTAATAAGTGTTGGTGAGGATGTGGAGAAATTAGGACCCTTGTGTACTACTGGTTGGAATGTAAAGTGGTGTAGCTGCTATGACAAACTGTAGTCTTTGCTTAAAAAAATTTTAAAGGCATTTTCATATGATCTAGCAATTTCACTTCTGAGTTATATGCCCCCAAAATTGAATGCAGGTTCTCAAATATACACGGTCATCAACACTGTATGAATGTATTTGTTTCCCCTCATCATCTCTAGCACTCACAGAATCTTTGTGATTTTTCCTAATTTGGTATCTCATTATCATTTACTTTTTTTAAAAGTCTACTGTTGTTGAATAGTTCCTCACATTTGCTTACCATATATAATCCCTCTTTGTGAACTGTTGATTTAGATTCTTTGTCATTTGGGGAGTATTCCAAATGTTAGCAGTTTAAGCATCTGCATTTTATATAATACACATATACACACGTTAAAAAAGAACATTTCTAGCTTTTATTGTTTTTTACACTTAGATATTATTGAACATGCCCAAATCTTTGCTTTCTTTACCTTTTATTTCATATGTTATTACATGTATTAGTTCTGTGTATACTCTTTATCATATTCCATTGACCTGTTGGTACCACACTATTTTAAATAATGTAGCTTTATATTACTACCAGGACAATGCAATTTAGTGTCTAGTAACAGTAGTTCCTCATCATTACTCCTTTTTTCAAAATTTATTTGCCAAAGTTCATCTTTTATTAATATTTATTAAAGGCAACTAAATGTTCTTGCTTTAACACAACTATAAATGGTTTCTATTTTATATTGTTACTTCATTTTACCTGTTGTTACCTCATCTATAAGTAGTATTCAGTGTAGCCATATATCTTTTGTTTTGTTTTTTTTTACTAGAGATCATAACTAAAGTTTTATAAAACTTCTAAAACTTCTGACAATGTAATGCATTTCCTTTGGCATAATTGTGATATTACTAATATAGCAACATTCCCAGAAGGTATTAAAGATTTTATGCAATACCTTAAAATTCAGCATCAAAACCAAAGAATGGTGTAAGTGCTAGAATTCTGCACAGTTCTGGCTCCAAAGTGTCATCACACCAACAAAAAAAGAAGCTATAAAGGTAACTAGCAATGCTTTGAATATACTTCTGCCAAAGTCCCACCATGATAACTTTTTTATTGAAGTTAACTTAAGGAAATTACTAGTTGTAACCTTTCTCTGGCAAATGAAAATCCTGAAAAATAGCAATAAAACAAGATACATGTATTTCAAAAATTATCATGCAGCCACTCCTAGGCATTGTTATTTCTTAGAGCATTAATTTATATTGTTGCTTAAGTCAAAGATCCCTTTAGTCAATCAAAATAGTTTAATAACTTTTTTTTCTCAGAAATCACTTTCTTGTTTTTAAGATGTTGGCAAATACTGAAAATTTAATAAAGCATACTAATGTAATTTATAAAATCCATCAGCACAGAATATTAATAAATTTCTTGTAGAAAACATTTGAGTATTTAAGCTACCTTCTAAAACTTAGAAATACCCATAAAACATACAACTTCTGAAGATGTAGCAACATTTGTACAGTCCTTTTTTAAAGTATCATAATATAAACAGCTCTCAGGTCTGATTTCAACTGATATATCTTCAAAACATGATATTTGATGGCAAAGAACAGGATCTTTTGAGAGTTCTTGTGTAGTGCTGATCTCTGTGAGGGTGCTGGATTGAACAAAGACAGCCCGCAGAACTTAAAATGTGAACACTTGAAAACACAGGATCATGCGGTACAGGGAATTCTGAAACTTTCCCCCATGCATTTTTTAATGGAAAATTGTCTTTCACAAGATTTTTTTCCTTATTGTCATTTGAGATGGTGTCTTTCTCTTCTAATGCCCGAGCAAGCATGTAACTAACTTTTCTTTGATGAGCCAAAGCTTCTTCTTTGTCATTCAACTACTTGGACAAAAAATAAAAATATGCCAATTAGTCAATAAATCACAGCATATAGAACTATAATCAGACTTTTTCTCAGAATGTTCTGTCTTCAATCTGTTAAGTCAGTCAATGTAAATACATTAATTAAATAAGTTAATCTAGCGATGCCCAAGTATTATGCTACACATTACTGAGGACTTTTTTTTTTTTTTTTAAGGAGGAACAGAAGTTTCCTTCTGCTGAAACTTTTGTAGGTCATCTGAAGAGAGAGGAAAAACATACACGTGGTGTGTGTGTGTGTGTGTGTGTGTGTGTGTGTGTGTGTGTGTGTGTGTAACATCAACATGTAATTACCCCTGCAAGAGAAGGCTGAAGTTCTTTATTTGTGAAATTTTTAAAATATATTTATATGTGAATAAATGACTTTAACCCTCTTGTATAGGTAAGTATGTTCATATAGCATGAGTCTTTTAGTTTTAGTCATATGAAATAGGGATAATGATTCAAGATATAATGTGTGAGAAAGTTGCCTTGTACATTTTAAAAATTCCTGAATTAAGTAAAAGGTCTTGTCATGGACTGTATGTGTAAATGCAGATGACAGAGGTACCTGCAGTTAATTACAGGGAGCCCCCTCTTTTCAGAGGTGAAGCTTTAAACTTGTACAGGAAGAACATGGATGGGAGAAGTGGGAAGAGCATGCAGGGAATTTAAGGAGATGAAGATCAAAACTGGAGGATGGTACCTCAGCTGAGAAAAGGGCATAAAAGGCAAGTACAGAGTACTGAAGAACGGAATTTTTAAAAAAAGAGTTGAATTAATAGGAAACAAAAAGATTAGCTTAACCACAACTTCTAACAAGAGAAAGCAAAAACACTGACCAACTCTGTTAGCATCTTAAAGACTTCCTGAGGATTATCCTGGTCTTCAGTCTTCTTAGAACTGTTTTCTGAAGGGAGCATACCCAACAGTTTCTGCCCTAAGGTCTTCTTACTTCCTTGTGATGGTAATCCTAAAACTGAACATGCAAATCAACTGAAACATAAAAACCCTCACTCATATACTTCCAGGAAAAGAGGTAAGTCTGAACCAAGGATAATTCATTTGTAAATCAGTCAAGAGGTGGTTCTCTTCTGGAGAATTCTGGTGAGTCAGGCATCAGTGTAGTGGGAAGAGAACACAGACTTGAGAGGCAGGATGGCAAACGGAGGTTGAGTGGGTCACAGCGTAAGGACCCAGAGCAATGCCCTGCCTGCCGCTCTACTCCTTGGCTCCCAGCGATAGCTTCCCTCGAGAGAGCATGCAGCCCACATTACCAGATCATCTCAGTCTTCCAGAGGAAGCAGCAATCCAGATGTGTGTGTGAAGTCTTCCAGTGTTAAATGTCAGCCACTTTACCAACATTATTTGACAACACTATGTAGACCCAACAAAACATGTCTGCAGGCCACAAGTGGTCTCTAAACCATGCAAATCCTGTGTTAGAGGAGAAAGACCTGGACTTGAATCCTCATTTAGCCCCGTACTCAGTGACCTTGGACAAGGTCTCTGTGCTTTTTTTCTTGAATGAGAATAATAGCCTCCATGCTTCAGGATTGCTGTGTCATTAAATAATAGAGCATAGGGGCTGGGAGAAGGGAGTGGACAGTTAGGGTTTAATGGGTAGTTTCTGTTTGGAAAGATGAAAAAGTTCTGAAGATGGATGGTCTTGATGGGTACACAACAATGTGAATGAAGTTAATGTTATTTAAATATGGTTAAAATGGGGGATGCCTGGGTGCCTTGGTCTCAGCTCAGGTCTTGATCTCATAGCCATGAGTTCAAGTCCTATGCTGGGCATGAAGTCTACTTAAAGTTAAAAATGGTTAAAATGGTAAATTTATGTATATTTTAACACAATTAAAAAAAAAAACAACAAACATGTAGCCCAGGTACTGACCTAATGTTTAAAAGTCCACATCTTGAAATGTGTACACTGATGATGTTCTTTATAGAAAGGATGCAGTTTTATAGCAGAAGGTACCAAAATTGTGGATTTATACAAAGAAAACATCAAGAATGCCTTTGGAATGCTCTGCAAATGGTCTAATGGAAAACTGAGAACAGATAAAAGACAATTCCCTTTCCACCCAATCCTGATAAACCACAGCTACCGGGGCTCATTCACTGACCTCTTTCTCAAGCAACTTCGACAAAAGGAGAAAAGCCAGACAAGTTGATGTGCTCATTAGCTTTGATGAGTGAATGAATCTGCATCTCTATTTGTAGTCTTAAAAAAAAGAAATATGCTATAACCTATCTCTCAGAACTCATCTAAGCTGCCATATCAACAAGAAAAGTTAATGTCTTCTAAGATGTTAACCACATACAAGAAACTGACCTATGGCAACATCCTGTCCCTCTTCAGATTACTGAAATCCGTGAATAAAATGAATCAGTCTTGTCACTAAGAAACTGACAAAAGAGTAGGGGCACCTGAGTGGCTCAGTCGGTTGAGCTTCCAACTTCAGCTCAGGTCCTGATCTCACAGTCTGTGAGTTCAAGCCCTGCGTCGGGTTCTGCACTGACAGCTCAGAGCCTGGAGCCTGCTTCAGATTCTGTGTCTCCCTTTCTCTCTCTCTGCCCCTCTCCCACTCATGCTCTGTCTCTGTCTCAGAAATAAATAAACATTAAAAAAAAGAAACTGACAAAGAGCTACTGACACTTGTATGGACTTGTAAAGGCCTTTCGGAGATGAATCAGTTATTTTAAATTCTGCTTTCAGTCTCTTCAGGGCCTTAACGGAAAACAAAGCATGAGCTATATCTATCAAATCATATTTTTAATGGAAAAGTTTTTCAAGTTTGTCATTAGCTAAGAAAGGCAGTCGTTCTAGAATATAAAATGAGTATGTATTCAAGTGCTGAAATGAATATTAATCTACCTCTTAGGAAAAACCCATTTTGTCTGTCTAGCACTACTTTTTGGCCAACTTCCATGCACACAGTGGGTGGTCTTCTGTGCAGATGACAGAATGTGGCAGGCTTTCATAAGATTGTTCTAACCATGCCTTCCCCTTCGTTTTCTTTCTCCCATAACTCTTCTCATCTTCCATCAAAACAAACAAGCAATTAAATTACATTTCCAAAGGGATTTGCCTTCAGTTCACATCACAGAACACCAAGGTTGTGCTTAAAGAGAACACCTTTGAAAATTCGGCAGTCCAGCTCCTATCAAGGGCTTAGCTTAGGACCTACACATTTGTGGTCCTTGAAAGAACTAGATATTAACATTTTCCATCAATTCCTAAAAGACTAAGTATATGGACTGTGTTTGCATATTTGCCTGGCAGAATCACCTACACTGAGTTGGACACTAAGGTTATACCTTTGGCCTTTATCAAGGGATTATTATAGATAACAGCCATATAAATGCTGATTTTATATTTATCATAAATGATTGTTGGGGATTTAGACATTACATTAGCCAGCTCAGGGATTTTTGTTGTAAGTCTCATGTCAGAATACCATTTTAGAAGTTAATTTCAGGATAGTGTGGAATGCCTCCTGAAGAGTCAGTGTTGAGAGTTAGGATTTCCTGTGTTGCCCTGACTTCCACCTGATAAACAGTCTAAATACAGAAGTCTTATGATCTGCTTCTATCTACTTTCATAGTTCTTGTTTATCGCTTCCTTTTTTATTTCCCTATATTTTATTTTCCCTCTATTTATATTTTCCCTATATTTTATTTTATTTTCACATCACTTGACCTGTATATTATTAGGAATATGTACTACTTGAGAAAAAATTAAAAATAGGTATCTTATTAAAAGTTTCATTTTTAATATTCTAAGACTCATATTTCCAAAGTTCATCTGAACACAAGAAAGATTGGAATTAGGATTATTGGTTTTGACATATTAGAAAATATTTAGAAATATAGTCATCTCAGAATTTCAATATTAAAACATCTAAACCTACAAATTATATAATCTTTCTTGACTAATAAAAGATTACAAGTTGGAATTTTAAATTGAAGCAATGTGAGTTGCACTGAAAACTGATACTGAACATTTAGAGAAACTAAAATTTCTAAAAAATAACCGCTACTTTGATTTTATTGGATGATCTACTTCCAACTGTCATTTTTATTCTGTTATTCCATTTTTATATATTTTGTTCACACCAGTACAATACTGAAAAATGGCCATTAACTTTTGATAGGTTTGTGAAAAAAACCTAACCCTTGTTTCATTTTTATAAAAGTATTTTATTAATATTTCCAACTTAAGATTTTTCCTCTACTCCTCCATCTCCTTTTAGAATCATACATTTCAGCAAAGTTTAATTAGACATACTTAATGTTTGGGTTTCACTATTTTTTAAAAAAATTTTTTAATGTTTATATTTTGAGAGACAGATGGAGCATGAGCAGGGGAGGGGCAGGGAGGGAGGGAGACACAGAATCCGAAGCAGGCTCCAGGCTCCAAACTGTCAGCACAGAGCTAGATGCCGGTCTCAAACTCACAAGCTGTGAGCTCATGACCTGAGCCGAAGTTAGACGCTTAACTGACTGAGCTACCCAGACACCCGAGTTTCACTATTTTCATTATGTCTAGGCAGTTTCCCTTTAATCACTTAGCACTCATAAACTGTCCCCACTAAACATGTTCTTATTTAAATGAGATAGTTGAGGGGCACCTGGGTGGCTCAGTCAGTTAAGGGTCTTTTTTTTTTTTTTTTTTAATTATCTTTGAGAGAGAGACAGAACACGAGCAGGGGAGGGGCTGAGAGAGAGGGAGACACAGAATCTGAGGCAGGCTCCAGCCTTCGAGCTGTCAGCACAGAGCCCAACACAGGGCTCGAACCCATGAACAGTGAGGTCATGACCAAAGTCAGCACTTAACAGACTGAACCACCCAGGCACCCCATGACATCTGACTCATGATTTCAGCTCAGGTCATGATCTCACTATTCTTGAGATTGAGCCTTGTGTCCGGCTCTGTCCTGACAGCTTGGAGCCTGCTGGGGATTATCCCTCTCCCTCTTTTTGTCTCCCTCCCTAACTAGTGTGCACACACACTCTCAAAATAAGTGAAGAATTTTTTTTTAAGTAGCTTAAATGAGATAGTTGAGTAGTAGAAAAGATTCTACTGTTTTATGGTTTTGGTGATCCCAATATTTCTTCTGCATATGTAACGTCCAGTGACCCCCTTTCTTCCCATAGTTGCTAAATTTTTAATAAATCACAACTGTGATACTTTAATTATATTCTCCTTTCATTTAACGGTGCATAATCAACTTTGATTATAATCAAAACCAACTAAAATTGTACCTGATTATTGCCATTATAATTCATATTTACCATCCTCCTTAAGGTGCTTCCAATTTATCCATTTTGTTGCTTTTTTACACATTTTATCCATTTGTGTCAATCTTAGTGCCTGGTCATTTTTCCTCATCAATTGTTGCTCAAATGCAATTCTGAATGCATCTGCCATTATGTAAGCTTCTTCTTTACTCTTCTGCAAAAGTCCCAACTAGTTTTGAAAGAAAGTTTGACAGGTGTCATATGCAAAACTAGAACAATTCTTGCCTGAATGCTGAGTAACATTAGCAAATGTAGTCTCCTGCCTAGCATGTATCTGTCAGTCTGATCTATTTCACGTGCTTAAACTAATTAGTACTTGCTGATTCCCCTCTACAGTAGGTGCCCACTCTGAACTAGATTACCAGGAATTTCCTTCCTGGTGCCCGATCATTCCTTGTTAATCCACTTCTTGGACCTTACCTCATTACCACAGAAAGGCCTTGTGTGTGTCCTGCCCAACAAGTAAGAAGGGAGGATGCCAAAGGCTGCATTTCCATTCTGTCTTGGGCCAGTCTAGACAGTATCACTGAAAATAATTATGAATGTCACCTTTTAGATACGTGCCATAACTGACCCTGACTGATCTTTGTAATCTTATGCTTGTCTTAATGAACTGCTAATTTTTAGCTGTTATTTTTCCTATGTCTGAAGACTTGAAATTCCATACCTTCAATAAAGGTAAAATATTTTTTAAATTATGGTCCATGTTTGTATTTGTTATTATAATTAACTATAATGGCAGCTGTCATTTAAGTGCCAGCACCTGCATGGTGCAGTGCTAAACATTAAATGTCTGCCTCTTCTATTTCCGCAAAACAGCCCAATAACTAGTTATTATTCTCTGTTTTAACATGTGTGTCCAAACCGACACACATAGAAAATACTAGAGCTATGACTCAAACCTAGGTCTGGCTGGTACAAAGGTCCCTTCAGGATACGTTGCTGTTTTTCTGCTAAGCTTCATGTTAATCTCCCCATTTATCAGTGTTGTGGATCCTAGTGATTTTAAGCATGAGCTTTTTCCTCTAATTATAAATAGAGTAATTTGGGGACCATTCATAGAGAAAAGAAACATAAACTTAGGAAATGTTAGCTATAAACTTAGGCAAACAACTTTATGTTGCCATAGTGTCATGCCAAGTACTATTTGTATTTTGGAACCATGTAAATAAAATCCAGTTTGTATGTTAATTCTATCACATAAAAGTAAGCCTAAGTAATTCTATCACATAAAAGTTCCACAGCCAGTGACTACTAAAAGGAAGCTAATTATTGCAGATACTTCCCTTCTATTAATAGAAAAAAAAAAAAGCTTTTAGTGTTTTGATAATATGGTACTTACCTCCTGTTTGAGCTTAAGAAGCATTTTCCGAGCCGATGCTGCCATTTTGGCACAAGCACAGGGACTCCCTCCAGGACCATGGCAAAGGCAGGCTCCAAGGACAGCAAGCTTTAAACCCGAAAACATTATTCCCATTACTGAGGGTCGCACTACCTAGCTGCACACAAACGCAAGGGCACTTACACACATGCACATTTATATTCGAGCATGCAATTCAAATAAATTGGAAAGAGAAACAAAAATAGAAGAAAACTGACAGGCGGATTTCAGGATCCAACCACAAATGAGGAAAGAATGTTACTACTTGGAACAAATCCATAAAGGAATTCTACCTTGCTTCTTTTCTTTTTCCAAAACTTCTAAATTGGCACCAGTTTCTATGGTCTGAATCCCTGCCAGGAACTTGAAGTAATATTAAAATCTACCTTGTCGATTTGTGAATGAGCTTAGCCTGGCTGCCCAGCATTTACTCCTGCCAGCTCCCACCAGGGAGAGGTGCATGCTTAAAAATGATGAATGAATTTTAATATGTCAGGAAAATAATCATCCCTCCATTTCTAAAAAAATACTTGTGATTGTGTCATGCGAGACACAGCTAACACAGCTTATGCTAAAACTATAAAAATAAGAAATGGGGCAGGAAGTGGCCAGCACATGTCCTAGTGTACCAGAATGTAATGCATGGTACCAGTAAGGTTGAGGCACTGTCCTGGGGAAACCAATGGGCCTCTCTTACCCTCAGTCTCAAATTGCTAAGTATAGTGCTATTCTAGAACATGTCGCAGACGGTGACGGGGAAAAGGAAATAGAAAATCTCCCTCTTGTTCATCTTTCATACCTGCCTACCTACCTCAAGACCTGAAACCTCTGTAAAACCACATTTATCACGGCACTTGTGTTCCTGAGCTGCCATCTGCTGTTTGATCTCCAGCATGGCGAGGGCCTCCAAATACTGTCGATTTAAAACTAGGAAGGGCCAAAGAAGAGAGTGTTAGTTACGCAGTCTGACTCCGGCCTCACCTAAGCTACTGGTTACACCAACATCATACACTCACTTCTTACAAGCAGTGCATATGTAGACATTGCCTACCAGAACTGCACAGCCAGAAAATCTGATAAAATAGTGGGTATCAAGCGAGATAACAGATACTTAACATTAGATGAAATGTTACTGTATTTAATGTGGAAGTGTCCAAAGTCTGGTCTTCATTTGCTCAAAGAAAATGTGTAGGATTTTCAAAGAACATACAAATGCAAATTATTTGCACTTGCTAGATCTTGAGACCACCAGATGGTGAGATCTCATGCATTAATGTCAAATAGACCAGCTATCCAAACTCTATTAGACTTCTATTATGAGTTTTCACAAGTTCTCAACCATTTATAACAAGAGCGGTCCTACTATATCCTGGAACAGAAAATCGTGACTTCTCCCCGACTTGTTGCAGAGTGAGGTGGTAGAGAGGGAGTGGATGTGGTTATAGGCTGCTGCTTTCCTGAACTAACCTAACACAGGTGAAATCTCCCATCTGCTCTAATCACAGGTATGGAGAAGCACCATTTTCTCTGGGCAGTTCTCACCCAGGAGCTCTGCCACTATTCACTTACTAGACTACAGAAAGTGCCCCTCTCAGGCCCATGACCTGATTTAGAACTTTGTCTCCTTCAAGCCACTACTTTAAAACAGTTTCTGCTAAGAAGGAAAAAACAACACATCTCTTAAAATTATATAAAAAGTTGATGCCATCTTAATATTCTTAAAACATCTTGGAGGCGCCTGGGTGGCTCACTCGGTTAAGCGTACGACTTCAGCTCAGGTCATGATCTCATGGTTCGTGGGATCAAGTCCCACCTTGGGGTGTGCACTGACATTGCAGAGTCTGCCTGGGATTCACTCTCTCTGTCTCTCTCTCTCTCTCTCTCAAAATAAATTAATAAACTTAAGAAATATATTCTTAAGACATCTTAATATTCTTTTATTAACTTTTGTCATAAGGTGACTTATTACATAAGGGGTGTGTGTGTACACACATATAGGTAAAAACTTTCAAGTCTGTAGTCAGTCAATATCTTGAAAAAGCAAGAGTGCTAGTATTAGCCTTAATACTATTAGAATACATTCCTACTAATGTCCCCCCAAAAAACATGTACTTAGGTTTCTCAAATATGAGGTGCTCTACCATTTTGTTTTACACTGAGTAGAAAAACAAAAGGATAACGGGAGAATGGGGAGAAATGCTTACTGGATACAGGGTTTTACTTTGGAGTGATGAAAATCTTTTGGAACTAGATAATTGTGCAACATTGTGAGTGTTATGAATTATTTACTTTTGAATGGTTAATTTTGATATGTGAATTTCATCTTAAAATTTTTTCATTAAAAAAACCCTAATGATGCATTTCTTGGAAGTATGTTACTTCTAAATAATAGCACTTTGTCTATTGATACGTATGTTCTTAACATAGGACACTAAAACTGATATTTTAACATAATATTCTTAAGCAATCATCAAAATAATGCTCTTCACTTACGTGCATTTTCCGACTTCAGCATTTTAATTTCTTCTGTTTTCACATTCAGAGTTTCCTTGAGGACTGCATTTTCACAGTTTAGCCTGGAAAAAAAGTACCCTCCAAATAACTAAAACATTAACATTTCATTGTTTTTGTTTTTTTAATTTTTTTGATGTTTTTATTTATTTTTGAGACAGGGAGAGACAGCATGAGCAGGGGAGGGGCAGAGAGAGAGGGAGACACAGAATCTGAAGCAGGCTCCAGGCTCTGAGCTGTCAGCACAGAGCCCGACGCGGGGCTTGAACTCATGGACTGAGATCATGACCTGAGCTGAAGTTGGACGCTCAACCGACTGAGCCACCCAGGCACCCCTAACATTTCATTGTTAAATGAGAATATTTGTATCCCATAATCAGAAAACAAAAACCCAGATAAAATTTTTCCTACTTCAAAACAAGCTAGAACTTATATGTGTCACAAAACGAAAACAATTTAGAGTGTGGTAAGATTCTGGACATACTCTTAACCCTTCTGTATACTCATCTGAGAAACAATCAGAAGTATCTCAAATGTTTTTTTTTAATTTTTTTTTAACCTTTATTTATTTTTGAGACAGAGAGAGACAGAGCATGAATGGGGGAGGGTCAGAGAGAGGGAGACACAGAATCTGAAACAGGCTCCAGGCGCCGAGCTGTCAGCACAGAGCCCGACGCGGGGCTTGAACTCACGGACCGCGAGATCATGACCTGAGCCGAAGTTGGCCACCCAACCGACTGAGCCACCCAGGTGCCCCAGAAGTATCTCAAATTAAAACATAAAAAAATAATAAGGAGGGGGGCTGCTGGCTCAGTAGAGCATGCGACTCTTGATCTCAGGGTCATGAGTTCAAGCCTCACATTGGGTGTGGAACCTACTTAAAATAAAAATTTAGGGGCACCTAGGTGGTTCAGCTGAGTGTCTGACTCGTGATTTCGGCTCAGGTCATGATCTCAAAGTTCTTTTTTTTTTTTTTTTTAATTTTTTTTTTTTTAACGTTTATTTATTTTTGAGACAGAGAGAGACAGAGCATGAACGGGGGAGGGGCAGAGAGAGAGGGAGACACAGAATCGGAAGCAGGCTCCAGGCTCTGAGCCATCAGCCCAGAGCCTGACGCGGGGCTCGAACTCACGGACTGTGAGATCATGACCTGAGCTGAAGTCGGACGCTTAACCGACTGAGCCACCCAGGCGCCCCCATGATCTCACAGTTCTTGAGATTGGGCCCTGCATCAGGTTCTGCGCAGGCAGTGCTGAGCCTGCGTGGGATTCTCTCCCTTTCTGTCTGCCCCTCTCCTGCTCATGCTTTGCTGTCTGGTTCACTCTCTTTTTGTGCAGGCTTCATAATAAAACCTCTTTTGCTAGTTCTGCTTAATTGAAGAATATCCTAAAAGGCAGTCTACTGACAGATGCAAATCTGGGTGTTTGAATCAGAATTTTCTGGATTCTGTGCCACAAAAACAAAATACAAAAACCAAGACAACACTATTAAATTGACATAAATTAAGATTTATGATATTCTCTTGAGGAGGCACTTTTATGCATTGCTAGTAGGAATGCAAAGTGGTACAAGCCTTACAGACAAGAATTTGATAACATCTAATAAATCTACATATGAATTGACCTTTTAATCCAGCAATTCTAAGAATTTACACCAGAAGTACATCTCCCAACAACACAAAAATATATATGTCAAAGCTGTTTACTGCAGCACTGTTTACAACCGCAAGATACTGGAAACAATCTAAGTGCCTCTATATGGGAGAATAGTTGAGTGCACTATGGCACATCCACACAATGGAGTGGTTTCCTGGATATATTGTTAAAAAGGAAAAACAGTGCAAAAGAATATGTACAGTCAGCTGTTCTTTGGTGTAAGAAAGAAGGAGAAATAAGAAAACAAACATATCTGCCAATTTGTGCAAACAGAAACAGAGGAATGATAAATCAGAAAACAGTAACTGGTTATCTATATAGATAGTGAGGGAAAGGAAAGATGGCAGGTTGGGAATGGGGTAGGGGCCCTGGGGGGAGAATGACATTTCTGAGTATACCTCAGAATAGTTCTGACTTTTGGAAGCATGTCAGTGTTTTACAAGGTCAAAAATAGATCAGACGAATAAATAAATCAACAAGGATGATGAAACAACTCTAAAACAGAATATAGATAAAAAACAAATGAACTTAAATGAATTGTATAACCACAGAAGGAGAAAGAAAAACTAAAGTCAGCTTTGAACACTTGTTTTGACTGGATCCCCTCAGGCGAGAAACAAAACTGCAAACAAATATTGAACTCTAGTTAGTAGGTTTGATTTTGCAATGGTGTGTATGAGCAATTCTAAAGCTACTTTCTGCATATTCTATGACAACAAATAAGTAAACATTGGGTGAAAAGAGCCAGGTTTCTCACTGGAAGTTACACATATGGAAATGGGCAAGGCTCAAATGCACCCTGTGGTGGTGGGTTGCAGTTGAAGATATGGGTGTGAACTCAAGGGTTCTGAACAGAGAGCGATGAAGAGGTAGATGTATATGTCAGTGTGTGTGTGTGCATTTCCAGTCGTCCTCTCAGAGGACCTCTTAGCAATGACTTCCAGTAGCCATAAGCACACCTAGCACTAAGATCTTGATTTCTAAACACCATTCCCCGCTAAAAGGAACCAGGACTCCTTGGAAAGATGCCAATATTGTAAGCATAGTGGCCTATTACCTCTTGTACCAGAAAGCAAGAAAGTGCTCCAACAATAACAGGGAGGTGTCAGAAAGCCACAGGAGCCAGCTTGAAGGGGCTCCCATTGACTGAAGTTGGAAAACCGTATTCAAAAAAGAAATTATGATAGTAACCCATTGAATAATGCAAGAATTCATGAATCCATTTTGGTATAAACAAATGGGGGAGGAAACAAGCTCTTAAAATGCCAGCAAATAAATATAGAAGGAATAACAGAATTAGAAAATTACCACTTGGCAACCGTCATAGTAATGACTGCTTCAGGCAGAATAAGCAGTGGATGTCAAACTAGTGGGTGAAAATCCGATAAATCACATCATCTCACAGCATCTCCCCACAAGATGCTTACTAATCACAAGGGGGAAAAGGATGGCTTTATAGTGGAAAATGAGGGCAGATACCACCCCTTAACCAAATAGTCAACATTCATATGCGAGGAACGGGACAAATCCACATTGCAGGCTCCCTGATATGATGCACTAATAACACAACATTGTTTCAGTAGTAATAGTGCCCCAAATGCATAACCTGAATCGAATTCAGAAACACCAGACATTTCCAATGTAGTATAGTATATAACCACCCTGTCCTCCTCAAAAAATGTCAAGGACAAAGAAGCACTGATAAATGTTCCAGATGTTTTCCCCTTCCTTCGCCCTCCCTTACTCCTCATAGCTGTTTCAGATTAAAGGGGACGGAAGTTTAGATATGACAACCAAATGCAATGCGTGATTCTGGACTGGATCCTAGAACACAGGAATTTTTTTTCTTTTGATATAAGGGTATTATTACTAGGATAATTAGCAAATCTAAATAAGGGCTGTAGGTTAAACAAGAATATTAGGAGGCACCTGAGTGGCTCAGTCAGTTGAACATCCAACTCTTGGTTTCAGCTCAGGTCATGATCTCAGGGCTTCGTGGATTCAGACCCCTCCATCAGGCTCTGTGCTGGCAGCACAGAGCCTACTTGGGATTCTCTCTCTCTCTCTCTCTCTCCCCCTCCCTCACTCTCTCTGTCTCTCTCAAATAAACTTAAAAAAAAAATAGAGTATTAGGTTAATGTTTTAATTTTGATCATTTTACTATGGTTATGACAGAGTTATGTCCCTTTTAATTTTTATTTATTTCTTTAAGTTATTTTGAGAGAGAGAACATGGGCAGGGAAAGGGCAGAGAGAGATGGAGAGAGAGGATCTCAAGCAGGCTCCCAGCAATCAGCACAGAGCCCGACAAAGGACTCAAACTCACAAACTGGGAGGTCATGACCCCACCTGAGATCAAGAGTCAGACGCTTAAACGACTGAGCTACCCAAGCGCCCGAGTATGTCCCTTTTTAAAAAACAGAAACTGAAGTATTTAGAATAATGAGGCCTTATATGCAACTTACTCTTAAATGGCTCAGATATCTATCTGTATCCACATATGTAACTATAGAGAAGACTAAGACAGAATGTTAAAGCAAATGTGGTAAAGAGTTCTACTTTGGAGAATCTTGAAGATATGCAGGATTTCTTTGTACTATTCTTGCAACTTTTCTATACATGTTAGCTCAGACTAAAAGTTTTAATACCTAAATTAAAAATTAGGTATTAAAGCCATCTATAATCCCAGATACCAAATCAGTTTATCAGTGACTGACTTTATAATATGTGTATGTTATAATTTAAAGTTACTAAATAGAGGCGCCTGTGGCTCAGTCCGTTAAGTGTCTGACTTCGGCTAGGGTTGTGATCTTGTAGCTCGTGGGTTCGAGCCCTGCGTCGGGCTCTGTGTTGACAGCTCAGAGCCTGGGGCCTGTTTATGATTCTGTGTCTCCTTCTCTCTCTATTCCTCCCCTGCTCATGCTCTGTCACTCTCTCTCTCAAAAATAAATATTTTAAAAAATTAAAAAATAAAGTTACTAAATAAATTCATACTAATAAAAATTGCTTAAAAGATATATGAAAAACAAATGCCAATGATAAAATAACTTGGAAAACATGGCTCTTACATTGCTTTTTATTTTTGTATGTTTATTTTTTGAGAGAGAAAGAGAGAGCAAGCTGGGGAGGGGCAGATATAAAGGGAGAGAGAGATCCCAAGCAGGCTCCATGCTATCAGGAGAGGGCCTGACACAGGCAGGGCTCGAACCCATGAACCGTGAGATTATGACCTTAGCCAAATCCAAGAGTCAGATGCTTAACCAACTGAGCCACCCAGGCACCCCCTAAAATTTTTTGTTGTTGTTGTTTTTGGTTTTTTTTGAGAGGGAGAGAGAGAGAGGGAGCAAATAAGTGAGGGGCACAAGGAAAGACAGAGACAGAGAGGTAGAACTCACCTAATGTGGGACTCAAACCCACCAACCAGGAGATCATGACCTGAGCCAAAGTCAGATGCTTAACAACCGAGCCATCCAGGTGCCCTAGAGTTTTTTTATTTTTTAATTTATTTTTAATTTTTTTTAACATTTATTCATTTTTTTTGAGAGACAGAGACAGAATGTGAGCAGTAGAGGGATAGAGAGAGGGGGAGACAGAATCTGAAGCAGGCTCCAGGCACAGAGCCCAACATGGGGCTCAAATTCACAAACCATGAGATCATGAGCTGAGCTGAAGTTGGTCACTTAACCGACTGAACCACCCAGGAACCCCAAGTTTTTTTTATATTTTATTTTATTTTTTGTTTTATTTTATTTTTTATTTTATTGCCTAGCATTTTTTTTAATTTTTTTTTTTTTAATTTATACCCAAATTAGTTAGCATATGATTTCAGGAGTAGATTCCTTAATGCCCCTTACCTATTTAGCCCATCCCCTCCAGTAACCCTCTGTTTGTTCTCTATGAGTCTCTTCTGTTTTGTCCCCCTCCCTATTTTTATATTATTTTTGTTTCCCTTCCCTTAGGTTCATCTGTTTTGTCTCTAAAAGTCCTCATATGAGTGAAGTCATATGATATTTGTCTTTGACTAATTTCACTTAGCATAATACCCTCCAGTTCCATCCACGTAGTTGCAAATGGAAATTTTTTTTTTTAACGTTTATTTTTGAGAGAGAGAGACAGAGAGACAGAGTATGAGTGGGGGAGGAACAGAGAGAGAGGGAGACACAGAATCCAAACCAGGCTCCAGGCCCTGAGCTGTCAGCATAGAGCCTGATGTGGGGCTTGAACCCACAAACTGCAAGATCATGACCTGAGCAGAAGTTGTGCACCTAACTGACTGAGCCACCCAGGTGCCCCTTTATGTTTTTAATGTTTGTTTAATTTTGAGAGGGAGAGCACGCCCGTGCAAGCAGAAGAGGGGTAGAGAGAGAGGCAGACAAAGGATCCAAAGTGGACTCTGGGCTGACAGTAGAAAGCCCAGTGCGGGGCTTGAACTCATGAAGTATGAGATCGTGACCTGAGTCGAAGTCAGATGCTTAACTGACTGAGCCACCCAGGCGCCCCTAAAGTTTTTTTTTTCTTTAAGTTTATTTTGTGAGAGAGAGCGCGTGCAAGCTTGAGCAGAATAGCAGAGCAGGGGTGGATGTGGGGGGCGGGGAGGGGAGGAATTCCAAGCAGCGGGATCTCCAGTCTCACAGTGTAGGGCCTGATGTGGGGCTTGAACTCCCAAACAGTGAGGTCATGACCTGAGCCACAATCAAGGGTTGGACGCTTAACAGACTAAGCCACCGAGGTGCCCCTTATATTGCTTTTTAAAATACAGTTTATAGGGGAACCCAGCTGGCTGGCTCAGTTGGTAGTGAGTGCATGCAACTCTTGACCTCAGGGTTGTGAGTTCAAACCCTACTGTGAGCATTAAGCCCAATAAAATATAGTTTATTTATATTACATAAAAAGATAATACTAACAGAAAAATATGGAACAGTGAAGTGGATAAGCAGTAAGAATTTTATAATATTCATAGTTAGCTCACAGAAGGAGAAAAGAAAGCCTAAGCTACATTTAAATTATACACACTTTATGGGGTGCCTGGCTGGCTCCGTCGAAAGAGCATGTAACTCTTGATCTTGTGCTCATGAGTTCAAGCTCCACATTGGGAGTAGAGATTATTTAAATATTAAAAAAATAAAAATGTAAGTAAATAAATTATACACACTTTAGAGATTTCCAAAGAAAAAGTACAGAAAAAAAGTATACAAACCTGTCATATTTTTGGGTCCATGATTCTTCTATATTTTTAAATCTATTCTGATCAAATTCTATTTCCCATTGCAAGGCATTTATTTCCTATAGAAAGAAAATAGGACTTTTCATGGAAAATTACTACAAATAAATCATTTCAGGACATTGTAAATAGCTGAAATAAATCATTTAATCATTTAACAGAAATAGGTTAAAGAGAAACTAATTATTGTTCAAAAAGAGTTTATGACATTTAAAAACACGTACAACATGCCTCTTTAGCACTCAAGAAGAGCTTTGCCAAAGCTTACTTACTATGAGAAAAATTTCACATTGTTTAGCTTCAAAATTTGCTTCTCAGAACCTAGATTCCTCATCACCCCTACCCCCAACCTATACAGACCCAGAAGCAAAATCCATTCCTGGGAGTGTGAGCCCAGGACACTCCCATCGAGGGAGGGTTCAGGAGGAACAGAACAAGACCTTCCAAGGTGACTCCTTACTACTATTTTCATGACAATGAGGTGGTCAGAAAGAGGCAGGCTCTGCCAAGCAAGCAGAGAAGGAGCAAAAGAAAAGAAAATTTATAGTAAGTGTCAAGCTTCCTACTACCTTAAAATGAGGAAATAAAAGAAATCTTAATTGTTTGCCCATGTAACAATATGTTTTGGATTATAAGTTCCAAAAGGGACGGGACTGTATAAAAAAGCACAACAAACAGACATCCATTAGTCTTGTGGTTTTTAAAGGAAATGCTATTTGAAAGCTTGGTAGTTTGAACAAGTCTACACTAAAAGTGGCAAATACCTTCTCCAAGGATCTCTTTTGTTCCATAGTTTTTTGAAGCATCACTTGAGTATGACTTGTGGCTTTGCCAAATATTGCCTAAGAAAAATAAAAATCATACCAGTATACATTAAATTTCTCATCACTCCTTTATGCACAGTAAGGTTCATATTTTTATTCTAAGACTAGAAAACCAGAGAATTTCCACAGAGACCACCTTTTATGGAGAATTTGATAGTTCAAAAGTCAGCAGATCTTCTCTCGGCTCTCCTGATGAATAGAGTGAATGAATGAATGAACTTTCCACACAAAGACTGGTACATGAACAAATAGAGCAGTGTTACTCATAACAGCCCCAAAGAGGAAACAATGTAAGTGCCCATTAACTGGTGAATGGATACACAAAATATGGTATATCTACACAGTGGAATATTAGTAGGCAATAAAAAGGAAGAAAGTACTGACACGTGCTACACCATGCAGGAGCCTCAAAAACATGTTAACTAAAAGAATCCAGACACATGTCGTATCATTCCATTCATATGAAATAGAAAAGACAAATCCAAAAGACAGTAAGATGACTGGTTGTCTAAGGTTGGGGATGGGAATGGGGAGGGACTGCTAATGGATTAGAGGTTCCTTCTGGGGAATACTGGGGAAATGTTCTAGAATTAGACTGGTTAGTCTAATTAGAGATGGTTATCCAACTCCAGTAAGGATAAATTAATTGTATGCTGAAAACAAGTGAAAATTTATGGTATATAAATTTTACCTCAGTAAAAGTTTTAAAAAAATCTACGCCTTCAAAAAAGCTATTTTAAGCATAGGCGCTTTTGTTTTAAAAGATAAAACCATACTACCTAAAAATTTAAAAATAACTTCTTACCATGCTTTGAAGAATTTTCAGTGCTTCTTCTTTACCCTCAAGTTGTCTCTGAGACGCCTCAAGTTCAGTTTTTAAAATTTCTACCTCCTAAGTAGAGAAGTAAGATTAGTCTACCCATCTGCAAGATGTGCAACCCCAAATGTGGACAGTTTACATGTAAGCTCAGTGTGCACTGACTCTCAGCACTTTGACCTTATAAAAGAGGTTTGAAATTCCTCCACTGTTCATAAGTGGCCCAGGCAGGTTTTACACTGAGACTCTTACTATCCAGTTGTAACTAAAAGTCCAAATCTTTTGCTTTTATCCTTCTAGACCACACAGCTAATAATCTGAAAAAAATCTTTAGAGCACAAAAATAAGCACATGATCATCCACAAAGCTATAGTAGCTATTATCGGTTGAACTGTCCTCCCCACCAAGTAAAGATATGCCCAAATCCTAACTCCTGGTACTATGAATGTGACCTTATTTGGAGACAGGGTTTTTGCAGATATAATCAGATTAAGATGAGGTCATACTGGATTATATAGGCCTCAATCCAATGACTGGTGTTCTAAGACGAGGGAAATGTGGGCACAGACACAAAGGGGAGAAGGCCACGTGACAGTAGAGGCAGAGACTGGAGTGAAGTGGCTATGAGCCATGGAATGCCAAGATTGTCAGGGGCAACCTCCAGAAGCTAGGAAGAGGCAAAGAAGGATTCTCCTCTAGACCTTCCAGAGGGAACATGGCCAGCTGGCATCTTGATTTCAGATTGCTAGCCTTAGAACTGAGAACAAATCTCTGTTGTTTTAGCCACCTATTTGTGGTGCTTTGTTACAGCAGCCCTAGAAAACGAAAATGGTAGCTTTCACCAGAAGTCACACACACACACACACACACACACACACACACACACACACACACACATACACACACACACACTAAGATGGGCTTCCTCCTTCCCAAAAGACAGGCACCCCGCATAGAAATTCCTACTGCCAGCAGGGCCTCAGAGCACCAAGAATACTTTCTGGTCTTCTGATTTCAAAGAGGTTAAAATAAGTCAGCTTATTTCAAGCCTCACGCACAGGGAAGACAGATGGAAGGAAGTTTATAACTGTTCTCTCCAGGAGCAGATTAGAAAAGTCATGAAAGATTAGGGGTGAGAGGTGAATTGGAGGGCATATTTACGTAAAAAGCTTTCTTGAGAGATGAGGATAAGAAACAGGAGGCCAGTTCAAAGTTATGAGCTTTACACTGTGGCTCATGCAGAATATGTGGAAAGCCAACATTGCCTTCCATACAATTTTAGCATTACTTAAAATATCCATCAGTGGGCTATATTCTCATGAGAATTTTTTTTTTAATGTTTATTTAGTTTTGAGAGAGTGTGTGAGAGGGGCAGAGAGAGGAGGAGACACAGAATCCAACACAAGCTCCAGGCTCTGAGCTGTCAGCACAGAGCCTGACGCAGGGCTTGAACTCATGAACTGTGAGATGATTACCTGAGCCGAAGTCAGACACTTAACCGACTGAGCCACCCAAGTGCCTCATGAGAGTTTTTATAGAAGCCACAGGACTTACCTCTAAAGTATGATGAAGACGTTGCTTTAATTCGACATTTGACAATTCTGAATTAGAATCTATTAAGGGGGAAAAAAAACACTTCAATACATTCTTTAACTAGTTGAATACAGCACATCTGTTTATAAAATATCAAATGCAGCTTTGTGCCAAGAGGAAAGAACTGTAACAAACCAAATAATGGTAAAAATAGGTAGCTTAAAACATTTCACAAATGAAAAGACACATACTTTTGAATAAAAAGACTTTTAAAAAAGGAGTCTCTACTAAACTGTTGTTAACGAATTGGTTAATTATTACATGCAAAACAGTACTTAAAAACATGAATGTTGGTGAGTGAAATAAATTTTGGTGTTTGGCTTAAGTTTGATCAATACAGTGATATGAATACCTAAGAAATAACCTGAATTTAATTTCTTTCCAAGGAGAATGACTAGAAGTCTCCTGTAACTTCAGTTATTCTCTCCTTAATGTGATCAATTGACACATTAAACTGAGCTTCCCAGGAGCTTCATTTTCATTGTGGTCTCACTGGCAATAGAAAAACATTAAAGTGGTAAATTGCAAGCAAGAAGATTAAGAAGAAGTAAAAGGAAGAAAAGATTTTTTAGAAAGAGTATTTTGAGGGACATTAAAAACTTCTCGAAACAATTTTTTTCTTTGCTGTTCTGAACTTTCACTATGGCGGTTTCCAACGCAAAACCTAAATCTTGGTTTTACTCTGATGACGGGCTCCAAGGAGGAACAAGTGACACTGGTTTGGCAATGACATGTTGTGTTGTAGTAATCCTTGTGGTAGGCAGAGCAAGGGCCCTAAAGATGCCCACATCTTAATCCCCAGAACCTGGACAGACATGGCAAAAGGGACTTTTCGGTGTAATTAAATTAAGGACTGGATTAAATTAATTACCTGGATTATCCAGGTGACCCCACTGTACTCACAAGGGTCCTTATAAGTGAAACAGGGAGGCAGGAGAGTCAGTGTCAGGGTGAAGCAGTATGAGAAAGACTTGAACAGCCAATGCTGCCTTTGAAGATGGAGGATGGCGGCCATGGGCCAAGGAATGCAGGTGAGCTCTAGAAGCTGGAAAAGGCACAGGAATGGATTCTCCCCTAGAGTCTCCAGAAGGAATGCAGCCTTGCCAACAACTTGGTTTTAGCCCAGTAAAACCCATTTTGGACTTCTGACCTATAGAACTGTAAGATAATAAATTTGTGTTAAAATTTTTAAGGCATTAAATTTGTGGTGACTTGGAAATGACCTATTAGCAATAAGAAACCAATACAATATCGTTACCTAGGACCAGGCTAATTTGAGATAAAAGTCTGTAACCCAACAACACAGGAGCTCATACTTTTACTGTTACATATTTATATCCCAGTGGTTTCCTCATATTTTTATAAAGGTATTTTAGCATCATGTACTGTTTTCAACATCTTGCTTGCAAAGCAGAACCCATCCTCTATACATGATGAGGAATTAAAAGAATAATATGTAAATAATCCCATGCTAATTTCAAGAAGGATTCTGAAAGATGGTGATAAAATCCCCATCTGCTACATGCTTTTGGCAAATCTAAAACCATGTTTCTTACATTATTTTCATGTTGTTCTAATTTGTGTCTGTTCCACTCTAGTGGGGGAAGTTTTACTACATGGATTACAAAAGATTCAGCCAGGTAAAAGCTGTGCCACCATGTAGGCATGGAGTCACCCCTGGACTCCCAGCCATTTTGGAGTTGTAATATTCTATCACAATGTGATTCTGAATTTTGTTCTTTCCTTAATAAATGGCATACTTGATTTTGGGTTATGATAAATTATGATTCATTTTTTGAGGGGCACCTGACTGGCTCAGTCAATGGAGTATGCAACGCTTGATTTCAGGGTTAGGAGTTCAAGCCCCACATTGGGTATAAAAGTTACTTTTAAAAAAGATTAATTTTTAGAGGGAGGATTTCATGACATTCCTAAAATAACCAGAAGCATACATGTTCTGCCTGGAATACTCCTTCCCCAGATAAGTACCAGACTTGGGCATCAGTTCACTCCAGTGTTCAAAAGCCACCTCCTTAGAGAGGTGACCCTGGCCTGATCCTTGCCTGAAATAGCATGCCCCGACCCCTCCAGATACTCACTATGCCTGCATTTAACTACTGGGAGATTTATTTTTTCTCTCCTCTACTAGAATGTGAACGGTCACATGGAGACTATTTTGTTCACTAATGTTGTTCCCAGAGCCTAGAACTGCCCCTGGCACCTAACAGGTGCCAAATAAATACTTGAATAAGAAAAAAATACTTGAATAAGAAAAAAAAAAAAAAGATAATGCACACCACTAAATCACACACCCACAAAAGCAAGGTAGGTAATCACTGATATCACTAACATATCTGTATTAATGCAGAATAACTACTGTAGTTCACAATTTGTGCAATACTTGGAAATGAAAACATGAGTTACTTTTGTACTATCACCAATCCCAAGAGGTGAATAAAGATGAATTCTCAAAATCCACTACAGTGACCTATTGTCATGTGTTGCAAGGGTGAAGGCACTGATGAAATCCACAGGGGAGAAGAAGGAAGGAGAGGGATCGAGGCATTTTTACCAGTGCTACTTTGTCGTCTGTGGTGGGAAGTGCTGGACTCTTCAGGGTGTGTATCTTGGGAGCTCTTATGCCTGGAATACTGAAAAATGGCACCACTTCTTTCTTCCCTCGTTCCTGGAAAGGGGGGAGGGCTAAAGTTCTTTCCATCCGATCTTTTTCTAGATGTAGACAGATGTGAAACTTGCACTTCATAAATACTGCTGGGCCTTCTCCCGAGGCCATACCCTAAGTCGCCTTCTGCCATGTCATCGTCCTCGGTTTCCCAGGTCGGCACCTCTGCCTCACTCGGCGGCCTCACCACCCTGCTCATCAGCCAGATGCCGTATTTAACATAAGGAAAAACACGGTATCTGTGGTTAAGAGAAACAATTTAAAAACCATCAGTATAATAAAGTTGGGGTTTCGAGGGGAGAAAAGTTTCTTTCTCTATTATACAGGCACGACTGTCCCAGTGATGCATCAGCACACAAACATCTCTTGCAATCCGGTTCAAGATGTTTAACATTTAAGGACTTTTTAGGTAGGAAATGATCAGCCTCTTATTTCAAAGACTGCAGTGAATTGTAAGGAAGCAGGAAAACCTTTTACTGAATCCAGTAATCTACTGATCAGGATAAAGCAAATCAGACTTTGCCAAGGAAAGAGAAAGGGTTTGGTTTTCACCAGCCTAGGAGCTACGTGAAATTCAGGGAATCCCTGCAAAACGGAACTTGCAGGGAGTACATAGAGCACCCTGCCCCTGTCCCTTCATGGCCTTGCGTGCACTTCAGGTGCTCATGGCTCTTACAGCCTGTCCTATAGCCCTCTGTACTATGGGAACATCTTCTGTTTTTCTGCAGACACAGCAGGGTTTTTCTACCTGAGACGATGATAGGTGGGAAGGAAGTACCCCCTCTCTTTCTTTATCAGACTGTGTGTTCAAGGCCCTCCACTGTTTTCACAACACAGCATAGAAGTCAAAGTGCTTTTGATGGCTTGCCTCTGACTGCATGCCCTCCTAGGCTGGCCAACCTGGCTGGCTTCCCCAGCGTTCCTGGCACAGAGCTGGGGTTCCCTCTGGCTGGAACACTCTTCCCCAGACAGTTGCTCAACTGGTTCCTCACCTCCTATGGGTCTTTCCTTCAGTGACACCTCAGTGACTGATACCAGATCTAAAATTGCAAACTCCTCCTCCTCCTCCTCCTCCTTCCCTGATTTATTTTTCCCCTAGCACTTAGGGCCTTCTAACATACCCCTCCATATTTTACTCATTTTTCAAGTCACACCATGAAAGGCAGGAGGTAGTACAAAAGTGGGAGCCTAGCAAAGCCAAAGGTGATTCTGCCCTGCCTATGATGCCTCTCAAAAGGCCGAGCGACCTAAAACTTTTCCTCTGCCAGAGCCCAAACCTGCTTAAGATGGCCCAAAGTGGAAAGTAAGGTCCATCACTGGGATCATCACTGCATTCCCAATGCTGAAAACAGTATCTGAGACGTAATCAGAGCTCAATAAATACTTTTAAATAAGGTGAATGAAGGAATAAACAAATTCCCTTCCTGTAGGGCAGAAAAATAGTCACCTCGGCAAGACTCCAACCTGAATACTGGGAAGCTAACTGCCTGCCCTTCTTCCCAGAGGAAAACATTCCAGATAAAAATGCCTTACAGAGAAATTACCACCACTGAGCCCTCCCCATGTGGAGACGAAGGACCACTGTAGGCACCTACCTGTTGGCTGCAGAGCACCTTAAATGCTCAGCCTTGTTCTCTTGTACACAGTAGTACAGGAAGAACTTTCACCACCAGGCATTTCAGAATAGCTGTTTTGCTGTAGTTGTTTAGAAATATCTCATCCCTTTCTCAAGATTCATTTTTTATTGGTTTTTTTTTTTTCATCTTTATTTTTGAGAGACAGAGCATGAGTTGGGAAGGGACAGAGAGGGAGGGAGACAAAGAATCTGAAGCAGGCTCCAGGTTCTGAGCTGTCAGCACAGAGCCCTGACACAGGGCTCGAACTCACGAATTGTGAGATCATGACCTGAGCCGAAGTCAGACACTTAACAGACTCAGCCACCCAGGTGCCCCAAGATTCATTAAAAAATAAATAAATAAATACATAAATACATACATACATACATCTGACATCTCTTCTAAATATATCCTGCTATTTAAATAATTGCTTACCAGGACTTTAAAAAAATAATTAAATCTTAAACTTGCATTTTTTTAGTGAGATGTTTCTCTTATTCTTCCACTCTTAAAACCACACAAATGGGGCACCTTGGTGGCTCAGTCGTCTAAGCCTCCAACTCTTGATTCTGCCTCACGGTTTGTGAGATTGAGCCCTGCATCAGGCTCTGTGCTGACAGTGTGGAGCCTGCTTGGGATTCTTTCTCCCTCTCTCTCTGCCCCTTCCATGTGCTCTCATGAGCTCTCTCTCAAAACAAACAAACAAATAAACAAACTTAACCACCCCCCTCCCCCTACACACACATAGTTGAAGAGGTTTCTGTTGTTTTTAGGGTTTAAAGTACCATATTCTTTCAGTATTTGAAAGCCAAGGCCCTTAAAGATTCGAAGACATAACATCATAAAAGAAGGTAAATGGATAGAAAGACATTCAACATCAGTAGCTGTCAGGGGATTGTAGATTTAAACTACAATGACAGTCTGTTACATACCAGTGTCAATTCTAAGTATTGCTGCGGATATAGACATACATAGTAGGCCGGAGTATAAAATGGTACAGCCACTGTGGAAAATTTTGGTAGTTTCTTTTAAACAAGTGATCCAGGGAAATGTAAACATATGTTCACACAAAGATGTATGGATGACTGTTCACAGCATTACTCAAATGGGCTCCACACTGGAAACAACCCAGATGTACAACAGAAAAACAAATTGTTAAGTCCATACAACAGAATATATTCAGCAATAATGAATTTCTAATACATGTAACAACGTGGATGAGTCTGAGAGACATTATGCTAACACAGGAAGCCCATCCTCTGTGAAATCCTGGCGAAACTAATGTATAACGGACAACGGATCAGTGGTTGCCTAGGGTGGAAGGCTGACTGCAGAGTGCAGGAAGGAACTTTTGGGAGGTGGTAGAAAAGTCTTGGTTTTGACTTGTTTTTTTTGTGTGTGTTTAAACACAAAAAATAAGGGACCTTTAACTGCATTAGGGGACAAGATGAGAACTGTGTTGATCAATTATATCCTCCTAGATAAGCAAATTATTAAACTGGATGCTCTAAATCAGCAAGAATTTCTTTTTCAATGATATAATAATAGCACTTGTTGCTTCTTTTCTGTGTGCTAGGCACTATTTTAATGTTTTTCTTAGATTATTCCATTTAATCTTCACCTTTCAAGACAATAGTGTTATTAAATATAGACGGTTAGCTAACGAGAGGTTGAACCAGATTCTGAATCCTGACTCCTAATGTCAGAGACACTGTGATACTCTTAGCTACTGCTTTCTGTTACTGGAAGAATCTGAATGAGCGTTACATCAGAATAAACCACGTTTCTATCATTTATGACATCAAACAGTACTAAAAGTAAAAATCTTTTTTCCCCCAAATTTTTATAAAATCATCTTTGTTCCTTTACAAGTTTATTTCCTAAATAAGTAAGTTTTTCTATTTTTATTCATCAAGATAGACAGGAAATAATCCCTAAGGAGCTATGTTTTACCTCTAATGCAAACTCCTGCTTATAAATGCACTCTCACACCTTTGTTAAGGAGGGTAGCTCAGGGCTAGGCAGCCAGCAGTGGAGAAAATGGAATTGGTCAACACAAAGGAAAAAAGTAGTAAGAGGAAAGAGTAAGCAATCACAGGATTAGCTAAGAATATGTATGTAATTTTTTGGAAAGGTCATCTGAGCTTTATTGTACATCAGTGGTCCGTCCTGGAGCCTGCGTCTTAGCATTCCTGGGGATGGTGGTCTTGGGGCCAGCCCCAACCCCAAACCCAAATGCCCCAGCCCTGCCCAGCTCCCAATCCAGTGCTGGGTTAGCATGCTTTGGGAGTAGGGAGGGGTGGGGTGACCAGAATTCTTGTCCACAAAGCCCAGGTGGGGCTCGGTCCTGGGACCCTGGGCTCCTAGGAGGTGGGACAGGGTGGGCTCTTGGGATAGGAGAGCCCCCAATCCTCTGGAGCCCAGATCCTGGCCTACACAGGGGCCCAGCCTGCTGAGTGGGGCCTGGCCTGGAAGATTCTACAGGTTGTCTGTTGGAGCAGCCATGGATGAGAGCATGGCACTCACTCCAGCTCATTCTCCGGTGCAGGCCTGTCTCATCTACTTGCCTGGGGTCACAGCCCCCATGGCTGTCCCTGCCCAGCAGCATGTGTTGCAGGCATCACCTGGGCCTTGGGTAGCAGCAGGCTCTGGTGGCTGGGCTGTGTGGCTAAGAATATTTTTTAATGTGCCACATAAATTCAGGTATCATGGTCTGGTCTTTCTAGCCTTTCTGCTATTCACAGTTAACATAATGAGCTTTCCCATGATCCAATACTCTTACTGTTTTAAAAAATGTAACTTTGGGAACTGGTGGCTGTATACTCTCCCCTTTTTTATATACTTAACATTAATAAACCAAACGACTTTCAGAACACATTTCTTCTAAGAAAGGGAAAATGTTAGAAGTTACTAATGTTCCACTCAGCCAGTTTTAAATATATTCAATGTTGACAACCAGGGAGGCCCAGCAGGATGTGTGACAGAGAAGGCTCTGACTCAGGAGGTCTGAGTTCAAATTTCACTCCACCACGTGCTGCTCTGTGATCTCGGGCAAGTCATTTAACTTCTCAGAGCATGTTTTCCAATCTCCAAAATGAGTTTAAGCATTACTACTTTATAGGGTTATTTTGGGAACCATTGATCTGATATATTTCAAGTCAATGTTTATTGACTTAGAGTTTGGGAGTATTAGTCCCATTGTTAAATGGGAGGATTGGACAAGATGTTTTGGTTCTTTAGGACTCTAAAATTATGGTTCTGGATCATCTTTTCCCAGTGTGTGCCCCATGGGACACTAGTTCTTTGGACTATTAAGTGTTGCTAGGAATAAAAGGGTCCTTCTGGTTTTATTTTTCTATGCTAGTAAAAGCTATGCATGACTGGCCCAAAATTACAGTGGAATTTTGTGGCTCTTAGTGGAAGAGCCAGAACTAGAAGCCCTATCTCTGGCTCCTGGCCCGGTGTTCTGGTCGCTTGGGAAAGGCCACAGGATGAACCAATTACAGACAGTGAGCAATCTTCCTACTTCTGCACTAAAACAACTCTCTGAAAAGGGACCACTGACTTCCTAATTGCTAAATCCAAGATCTAGTCTTGCTCCTGGGTCTCCTCCACCTGTGCAGAAGCTGTGGCACTACTGATCTGCCACGCCCAGGCCCCTGGTTGACCTTAGCCCCTCAAACCCTACAGGAATGAGGAACCACCCCATGTCTGCCTGCTCAGGCTCCTTTTCCTCTTTCTGTCCTGCTCTGTATGTTTGGCTTCCAGTATTAAACACACACATTTCCAGCTGGATATCCTGCCAGCAATTCAAACACAGCTGTTCAGGGGTGCCTGGGTGGCTCAGTCGATTAAGCGTCTGACTTCAGCTCAGGTCATGATCTCGCATTCCGTGAGTTCGAGCCCCGCGTCGGGCTCTGTGCTGACAGCTCTGAGCCTGGAGCCTGTTTCAGATTCTGTGTCTCCCTCTCTCTCTGACCCTCCCCCATTCATGGTCTGTCTCTCTCTGTCTCAAAAATAAATAAACGTTAAAAAAATTAAAAAAAAAAACAACAAAACACAGCTGTTCAAAAACAAACTCACTGCCCTCCCACTCCCACCCTAGATCTATCTCATCCTGAGTCCTCTATTTCTGCAAACATTTCAACCATGCTCCAAAACACCCAGGTCCAAAACTTTGGGATTTCTCTTTTCCTTGATCCCTTCAGATGCCAAGATGTCTAGGCGCACAAAATCTCCTGAAACCATATCCTTTGGATATTAACTTCACAGCCCTGGCTGGATTTCTTATGAACTCTTCCAGGTAAAACCAATAGTCCCCAAGCCATCCTATACACTGCTGCTCCAAGCACAGATCCAGAGATGCCCCCCCTCTTGCCCTAAAACATTCCATGGCTCCCATTCCATAAAGTGTCACCCTGTTACCTACGAGACTCATTTTTACTTCACATGTCAGCTGTCACTGCTTCCTGGACATGTTCTGTGCTTCCATTAAGAAGGACTGCACCGGGGTGCCTGGGTGGCTCAGTTAGTCAAGCGTCCAACTTCAGCTTGGGTCATGATCTCTCTGTTTGTGGGTTTGGGCCCCACATTGGGCTCTGTGTTGACAGCTTAGAACCTGGAGCCTGCTTCAGATTCTGTGTCTCCTTCTCTCTCTGCCCCTTCCCAGCTTGCACTCTGTCTCTCTCAAAAACAAGTAAACATTAAAAAAAAAGGACTGCACCTGTGCCCAGGCCCCCTCAGGGCAATCAGTCACCTTCAAGTCTGCTGGTGCTCATCTCCACGCCAGGAACGCTGACTCCTCTGTAGTCCCCCACAGCTCATGACAGCCACTCCCCCCAGCAGCCTTCCTGACACCCCTGAGCCAGATGTGATCTCTGAGCTTTCCTAGCTCTGTGTTGTACCTTTTAATTTTTTTTAAGTTTTTATTTATTTAAGTAACTACACACACAACACGGGGCTTGAACTCATGACCGCTCTCACAGAAGACCCAGGCAGGCATCCCTGTACCTTTTTAATAGTCCTTTTTCCTGACATGTGTATTGCACACGCCCCTACAGTAGCTCGATGTATCCTTAACTCACTGACCTGTCCAAAGAACGGTGACAGACCGAAATGAAGAAACAGACTCCTGCCCAGAAATCTTGGACTAGAAGCATCCACACCCACTAGCGTGACACTTGCCCTAGCAAACACAATGGTCAAACAGACACCCAATTCCTGTCAGGCTTGGCAAAGAGGAACTAACTTGAGCCCTCCCTGGTGAACAATGGCCTGCTACACAACACTGCAGCATTATGTTTTTAAACTTTTTATGAAAATAATTTTAGATTTACAGTAAGTTGCAAAGAGAGTGCAGAGCTCCTGTATACCCTTTGCTCACACTCCTCTAATGTTAACATTCACCAAAATTAGTAAGTTAATATTGACACATGGAATTAACTAAACCACAGACTTTATTGGGATTTCCGCAGTCATTTCTACTGATGTCCTTTTTCTGGTGCAGGACACGTATTTTTAAGGCTCAATACTAATAGGAAAAAATAATAAAGGAGGAGAGGGAAAAGGCAGAAACAGATTCTTTCAAACCTATTACTTTTTTTTTTTTTTTTTTTTTTTTTTTTTTTAACGAGACGAGACCATTAAACTAGCGTTTAGGGGAAAAAAAGCAACCAGTGGGCCAACTTGTACACAACCTGCCGGGTTTGCACGAATCTGCGCAGCCCGGGTCCCGGGTCCTCCCCACCCGCCGTTCCCACCAGCCCTGCCTGACCACGCGCCTCCGCAATGCCCGTCGCGGGGACCGGACCAGGGGACGGAACCAGGGAATCCCGCCGGGCGCCCAGGACCCCCACCGCCCTCGCACCCCACCTGGCGCGCTCACCTGGCGCCGAGCCTCCCCGCCGCGCGCGTCGCCGCCCTCCAGCCACGTGACCACGCGCGCCGCCGGGACCGGAAGGAGGGGCGAGGCCGCCCGGAGCCGGCCCCGCTGGTCTGGTCAGCTGCCTGCGTGAGCTGGTCGGTTGGCGCGGGCGATGTTGGCTCTGTCCGGCTGCAGAGCCTGGGGTTTGCCCCCTACGAGCCACCGAATTAGAAATGTTAGCGCGGAGACCGAGAGACACAAGACCGCGGGCGCTCAGTAAAGGTGAAAATGAGATGGTGCAAGCATGAAGTGTGTAGGGGGTAAGGGACAGAGGGATCCGAGCTGAATCAGTTCAGCGGCGCAGGTGGACCGCAAAAGTAGGCTTTCCGTACTAAGAAGCGAGGAGGGATTTAAGGGCGAGAGGAACTTCTGGGGCAGAGGCGTGGCTGTGGGAAGGAACAAGAGGGGGGCGGAAAGAGCTGCCACTGGGAACTGATTCCGTGGATTTCTAGAGGGGGGCCATCCCCCACCCTCCAGAACGTTCAGAGTCCGTAGTGATGAGGGAGCGTGTGGCAAGCTGAGGGCTATAACAGCGCGCGCACACAGACCCTCACACACCCTCCAAGGTGGGATACGTGTGATACTCCTCAGATGCCCATGGCTACCCAAGACCAAAGGAAAGGAAAGCAAATGGTTGACTGACTGATAGAGATCACAGTTATGCAGGACAGGAGCCTCCTTCATTTTACATATAACTTAGTAAACTGCAAGGAAAACACAATCTTATCCATAGTCTAATCTCCAGAAACCTATAGACTCGGTTTCCTGGAGCCTTAATATCACCCTCATCAAGATGAAAGGGGTTTCAAGTGCTTGCCATGGTGATGTGGGAAACAAAGGCAAATGAAAAATTCCCGTATTGCTTACGGCCCACTGACAAGTCCTTGAAGTGGGCAGAGTGACCTCCTTTTAGGAGCTCAGCTGCCTCAATGATGGTACTTTGCTGGGGATAAAAGGGAATCTTGCTTAACATTATCCTGCGCCCTGTCCCTAGGATCCTGTGAGTCTTCTTAAACACATAGAAATTCCTTTGCAAACCTCTTTTATCTTTACCCCCTTCCCCCCCCCCAAGTATATGTTGGCAATTATACTCCAAGCATATGGCTCCTTATACATATTTGAAGGGTCTCATGTCTGAGGTTTTACTTAACAGTAATAAATGTTTTTCTAACAACAGCTAGCCCCTCAAGGTCCTGGAAACCTTGCTTCCAAAACACTGTCCCTAACCCCATCCCAACCTGAAGGTATATAATCAGTCACTCCTCACAACCCCAGTGCAGCTCTTTCTGCCCACTGGTACTGTCCCCGTGATTTAATAAAATCACATTTTTTGCACCAAAAACATCTTCAAGAATTCTTTCTTGGCTGTCACCTCCAAACCCCGCCATCACTTGAAACCCCATCAAATAGTTTCAGTGCCTGGGTGAAATGATTTTGATAGTATTTCCTAATATCAACATAGTTGAAATAACTTTGGCTGGATTTAAAGATTATTCTGGGTTAGAAACAAACAAGTGAACCCTTCTTTGCCTTAGTAGACTTCTTTTATTCTTCCTCTTCTCCAGATTCAGCCCATACTTCCCTTAACCACCCACTTCCCCCAAGTAAACATACCCTACTTATATGGAAAACCAGACACTTAGAACAAGATCAGTTATAGAACAAGATCAGTGCTCTGTGGATATTAGATGCTCAGAGATTTAAGATTATCTTAAGAGATTTAATGTATTTATTTTACTTTTAATTTTTATTTATCTTTTTAATTTACATCCAAGTTAGCATATAGTACAACATTGATTTCAGGAGTAGATTCCTTAATGTCCCTTACCCATTTAGCCGATCCCCCCTCCCACAACCCCTCCAACAACCCTGTTTGTTCTCCATATTTAAGAGTCTGTTATGTTTTGTCCCCCTCCCTGTTTTTATATTATTTTTATTTCCCTTCCCTTATTGTCATCTGTTTTGTATCTTAAAGTCCTCATAAGAGTGAATTCATATGATATTTATCTTTCTCTAATTTTGCTTAGCATAATACACTCTAGTTCCATCCACGTAGTTGCAAATGGTAAGATATCATTCTTTTTGATTGCTGAGTAATACTCCATTGTATGTGTGTATGTGTGTGTGTGTGTGTGTGTGTATGCATATATATGTATATATATATGTGGGTGATGTATATATACACCGCATCTTTTTATCCATCCATTGATGGACATTTGAGCTCTTTCCATACTTTGGCTATTGTTGATAGAACTGCTATAAACATTGGGGTGCATGTGCCCCTTTGAAACAGCATACCTGTATCCCTTGGATAAATACCTAGTAGTGTAATTGCTGGGTCGTTGGGTAGTTCTGTTTTTAATTTTTTGAGGACCCTCCATACTATTTTCCAGAGTGGCTGCATCAGTTTGCATTCCCATCAGCAGTGCAAAAGAGATCTTTTCTCTGCATCATTGCCAACATCTGTTGTTGCCTAAGTTGTTAATGTTGGCCATTCTGACAGGTGAGGTTGTATCTCATTGTGGTGTTGATTTGTATTTCCCTGATGATGAATGATATTGAGCATTTTTTCATGTGTTGGTTGGCCATCTGGATGTCCTCTTTGGAGAAGTGTCTATTCATGTCTTTTGCCCGTTTCTTCACTGCATGATTTGTTTTTTGGGCGTTGAGTTTGAGAAGTTCTTTATAGATTTTGGATACTAACCTTTTATGTGGTATGTCATTTGCAAATATCTTCTCCCATTCTGTCGGTTGCCGTTTAGTTTTGCTGATTGTTTCCTTTGCTGTGCAGAAGCTTTTTATTTTGATGAGGTCCCAGTGGTTCATGTTTGCTTTTGTTTCCCTTGCCTCCGGAGACATATTGAGTAAGAAGTTGCTGCAGCCAATATCAGAGAGGTTTTTGCCTGCTTTCTGCTCGAGGATTTTGATGGCTTCCTGTCTTACATTGAGGTCTTTCATCCATTTTATTTTTGTGTATGGTGTAAGAAAGTGGTCCAGGTTTATTCTTCTGCATGTCGCTGTCCAGTTTTCCCAGTACCACTTGCTGAAGAGACTGTCTTTATTCCACTGAATATTCTTTCCTGCTTTGTCAAAGATTAGTTGGCCATATGTTTGTGGGTCCATTTCTGGGTTCTCTGTTCTGTTCCATTGATCTGAGTGTCTGTTCTTGTGCCAGTAGAGATTAATATATTTATAATTTTAAAGTCAATTTGCCTACTATTCTAGCATATTCAATAGCTTTGCAAACCAAAAATAGTTTTTCTTCACTTAAAACTTTGACCGATTTAAAATAGACTTCTTTAACCTTAAAAATATTTCAGAACTTTCCCACTAAAAATATTTTAACTGTTTTCTTTATCAGACTTCTCCAGAAAGCATAGATTTGAATGCATGCATATTAAAATTTTATTTAAAAAATGCATGAGTTTATTTATTTATTTTTTAATATTTTTATTTATTTTTGAGACAGAGAGAGACAGAGCATGAGCAGGGGAGAGGCAGGGAAAGAGAGGGAGACACAGAATCTGAAACCAGCTCCAGGCTCCGAGCTGTCAGCACAGAGCCTGATGCGGGGCTCGAACTCACGGAGTGTGAGATCATGACCTGAGCCGAAGTTGGACGCTCAACCCACTGAGCCACCCAGGCGCCCCTGAAAAAATGCATGAGTTTAAAGTTGGCTTTCATCACCCTTTATGTGCAATGCTGCTAAACTATTGCATAATAAATGTGCGGTGAATGTCTTTAAAAAAAACTTCTATCTACCAATTTGAGTATATTTCATTCTTTTCAAGTTTATTTATTTTGAGAGAGAGAGAGAGAAAACACATGTGCACAAGTGGGGGAGCGGCAGACAGAGAGAATGAGAGAGAATCCCAAGCAAGTGCTGTCAGCCCAGAGCCCACCACGGGGCTCAATCTCAATCTCAAAAACCAAACCGTGAGATCATGAATGGAGCTAAAACAAGTCAGATAGTTAACCGACTGAGCCACCCAGGTGCCCCAAGAGTATCATGTATATTTTATATACAAATCTGTTTCATATGTGTGTTTACATTTCTCCTAATCTGTGGCTGCTGCTGTTCTTAAGTCCTTTTTTTTTAAGCAGGCTCCATGGCCAACCTGGGGCTAGAACTCATGACCCTGAGATCCAGTTGCATGCTCTCCTGACTGAGCTAGTCAGGCCCCCCCAGTATTAGGTGTCTTTTGAGAGGAAGAGTTTTAAATTTTGAAGTCAAATTTATTGATTATTTTTTCTTTGGTTTGTGTTTTTTGTGTTCTATCAGATAAATCTTTGCCTAATCAAAGAGCACTAAAATTTCTTAGTATGTTTTCATCTAGAAGTTTTATATATTTTAGGTTTTACACATAGGTCTCTGAGACATTTTGAATTAATACGGTATGTGGTTAAGTTTGAAGTTCACTTTTTTTTTTATTTTATTTTTAAGTAATCTCTACTTCCAATGTGGGGACTAGAACTCGCAACCCCAAATCAAGAGTCTTCTGCTCTACCAACCGAGCCAGCCAGGTGCCCCGAGGTTCACTTTTTTGATATGTATACCTATTATTTGTCAAAAAGTTAGTTTCCCCATTGATTTTCCTTTTGCACCTCCATCAAAAATCGCCTGTATAAGCATGGATTTCTTTCTGGACTCTCTTTTCTGTTACAAGATCAGATCTATGTGTCCATCATTGTCGTATGCCACATTGTCTTGCTTTAGTCTTTATAGCAAATCCTGAAATCACATACACTAGGGTTGTTTTTAACTTTGTTCTCTTGTTTCAGCATTGTTTGGTTACTCTAGCTCCTACATGTTTCCATATGTGTTTCCAGCAATTTTTCTTTTTATTATGGAACGCTTCACAAATTTGCATTGCATCTTTGTGCAGAGGCCATGCTAAAGTTCACTGTATTGTTCCAATTTTAGTGTATGTGCTGCCAAAATGGGCACTCAGCAACTTTTACTTTAAATTTTTTTTTTAATGTTTATTATTTTTGAGACAGAGAGAGATAGAGCATGAACGGGGGAGGGTCAGAGAGAGAGGGAGACACAGAATCTGAAACAGGCTCTAGGCTCTGAGCGGTCAGCACAGAGCCCGATGCGGGGCTCGAACCCACGGACTGTGAGATTGTGACCTGAGCTGAAGTCGGATGCTTAGCCGACTGAGCCACCCAGGCGCCCAGCAACTTTTACTTTAGAAGAGTATGCTGGTATTTTGATTGGGGCTGGATTAATAGATCAATTTGGCGAAAATTGTCATGTTAATAATATTGAATCTTCGATTTCATGAACATGGTTTATACATCTTTTTTGGATCTTTGATTTCTTTCATTTGAATTTTCAGTATGCAGATCT